TAATGAGTGGCAGACACACTCATCAGCAGTATTGGATCAAGTGCATCAGTCAACACAGGTCCACTTTTAGCTTCAATTCTGCATTAGAGTGGTGTGACTCCACTGTTTGATACTTCATGTTTTTGACAGCAGGAATGTTAAAGTTGAACAAAGCTTGCAAAGTTGTAAGCTTGCTTTCTCTGTGCTTGTTTTTGTTGGGACTTGAGGGTTGTCAACATGGGGAGGTACGTGATTAAATAGCTGTACTAGTTTCCTGTGTGAACACTGCTTCACACTCAGAAAGCATTTGTGCGATTTAGCTTAGCCAGTTTCAGAAATGCTTATAAAAAGAGCTGGTTTGGTTACCTGTTCAGTTTTAAATTCACATCCTTTCTTCCCTGTTTTATAACAGTTTTTCCATACAGGGTGTGAGCCCTTACTCTTGCATTGTCAGTATCCAGGCTTAGTTTTGTTACAGATATTTGTAACAATGATTGTATGTGTAAGATACTACATGTACAAAATTTCTAGTGTATTTGGTTTCACTGATTTTGTTCTAGATAGCTGACTTATTTATTTCAGCAGAGATAGTTAGAATAGAGGGTGTTCACTTACTGTATTTGAGTTTTGTAAATAATTAGTAAGTTCTTGCAGTAAATCAGCTATTTGAGTTGCTCTCCTCCTTCATGAGTGAAAGAGGAGAAGGTCCCGCCTTCTTTATCCAGAAATGTGCTGGCTAGAGCACGGTCCTGGGAGGTCCCAAGTCATTTATTAGATCTAGCTCAAAGCTGATGGGATAATAATCACTTTTCAGAAAACTCTGTTGATTTCCTCTGCCTTACTATCCTTTTAATTCTTATTAGCTAAGTCACTCCTCAGCCTTTCCTTTAGTTAGGCTATGATTGGACATGTATATACTTTTTAGTGCTCAGTTCATGTTATTAATGATGTTTTCCTATGTTTATTCATCTTCTCTTGTACAATGACTCTGTTTCAACAGAGTTTATTAACCTTTTGAAGAACTCACCCCGAAACTACAGTCTTTTTGTTAATATTTAAACTGAAGGCATGTCTTAGAACAAAGATAAAGTGAAGATTATAGGAAAAATAATGTAGCAAGTTCTGAACAGTGCGGGATTTATTAGTCTAGCATCCCTAGCATTGTTCATGGCTCATGTCTGGAGATGTAGCATTTTGACTGTGAATAATATAGAGTGGTAAAAATAAAAGAGCTCTTCCACAAAGAGAAAGGGGGTGAGGATAGAAAGTGAAGACATAAATCAGTACTACTATATTTTGTCTGACAGCCTTCAGTCGTAGGCTGCATTCTGCTCTTGTAGGAATTTCCAGACATTTTCGCCTTGCTTCTTCAAAGCCCTGCGTATCTCCAAAGATATTGAAAGGTGGCTTTGTACAGTTAGCGCCTTGAGGTCCTCTTGTGTTGCACTGTATGCTGCACTCTTCATTGAGCAACACCTGCAGGAAACAAAGGTGGAAAAAAAGCCTTTGATGTGGAAATCTCACATAATGCCTTTAAATGAGGTGAGTCCTATCTGTTCTTTAAGGGAGTTTGGAGGGCAAAAAGGCAGAAATTAACAAAAAACCTTAATCAAGCAACATTTTGAGTGGATGAGTTGTTCAAAGTGAAGAACTTAAATGTTTTTTATAGTGAGATTATTGATATTACTTCTTGAAGATTAGAAAGGTCTTTCTTAATAGGGTTTGTCAAATTGTGATACAGTTCTGTTGTCACCTAATGAAAAATTAAATTGATTTGCTAAAAGAGAGAATATAACTTTTCTTTCATACACAGAAGCCATGCAGCTTTAACCTGTACTGGAGAAGTTTGAACAATACTGTTTCTTCAAACACAGTTGAGACTTACAGTTAACTTAAAACCTTTCCTTGTAGCTGAGAGTTAAGGGTCCTGTATGTTGTTGAATTAGTCAAGTAGGATTTGTATGGATAGTTTCAGGGGACATTTTTGTTTTTCACTAAAAACAGTTTGGATTTTGATTTTAAAAACCAACCCTTATGCTGAAATTCATCAGCTATTTCTAACTAGAGGTTGACGAAATGTTGTCATCTACACCATTTCTCCTGGTTATGCAGTGATATGGCTGGATATCACATATGACTTACGGAACATTGTACGTGACTTGTTTGGCTGAATCAGGTTTTCTAGTAAAAGCCTCACATCTGCAAAATTATGTCCCACGACAGATAGAAACTTCTGAGTATTGCTGCTTGGATTTCATGCAGTTTGTTAGCTGAATCTCTTACCAACCTTAGACTGTCTTGAGTGTACTGTCAGCACTACTTTCATTTCTGTTCTTAAGGACTGCAGCACTATACATAGCTGTGTTACATCTCTTTCTCAAAAATACATGGAAACCCTCAGGGTTCAGGTACACCGTTTCTCTCTTCTGCTGCTTGTGGAGCATGTTGTGCTCAGCAGTTATGATGGTAGAGTATAGGGAGGCAGGGTTTTCTCAGTACTGTATGTTACTAGGTCTCAGACCATCCACATAGAGGTGACTATTGCAGTAACTGAACAAAGACTGAGGGAGACAGCAGGAGTGATGCTGCAGTGTGGGTTAGTGGTGTTAGATAAAGGTTATAGCAGTCATAGTCCATTTCCCTTCTCTTAAAGCAACCCCCCCCCAAACCAACAAAACCAAATAAACCACCCACTTTCTTTTCTTTGTTTTTGCTCACAAATTATATTCCTTCGTGTAGACAAGAAGCTATTTTTCCATGCAGCTTGTTCTTCAAGATAAAGATAGAAAAATGTATGCCTTTCTTTGAGTCCCTTGGGTTGGTGGGCAGGCAACTTTCTTTACTGACTAACTTATTTTACTAGTTGACCTATCTACAACACAGTCTCTTTGTGTGGGTGCACAGGATGACACTGACAAGTGATTTGGGTTGCTAATCACAAAGGAAATTTATATTCTTGGGCTCCTTATTGTGACAGTGTATGGATAGTAAAAATTATAAGCTTACACATTGATTGGAATTTATTTACATTTATTTACACTTCTCTTACATTCAAGTATTTTTTAATGCCGTTTGCCTTGCCAGGCAGGTCAAAAATCTTATGGTTCTTTGTCTTTCACAAGTAGTACTTTCAATGTCTTTTAAAATGCAAATGCCAGTTAATGCAAAAAGAAATCTACTTACAACTATTTTTATTTCTTTATTATATTCTAAAAATCTACAATATAGAATACATGACATTCTGCATAGTATATTAATTCAGCTTTGTACAGTATCCTTTAAAAGGTGCTCAAGGGAGGCACAGGTTTCCATCTAGTAGAATGAACCTTGCTGGGGTAGGTTTGTAGGTTTCTGTGCTTCTCGGTGGTATGTGCCTGGCGCTGGCTAAAATCCTGAACTGGTACTGCAACGCAGTGCTGACTGGTCACAGTGTGTGTCAACTAATGGAGCTGCTGTGTACTGCATACTTGTGCACTGCTGCTCAGTTCTAGATGTGTGATGTGGCTGCTGTAGTTTTGGTTATCAATGCGGCATATTTCAGTTTTACATGTAGTGTGTTGTCTGTACCAGCGCTTCTTTCTCTAGGCATCTTTCCGACTGAGCAAAGAACCCATTTCTAAAAACCTGTGCATCTGCTTTTGCACATATACAATAAACCAAGATATCAATAACCTTTTTTGCTGAGAGGTGTATTGTACACATCATTAATAGTCCAATGGTGTCGCATTTTGTAGATGTGCAAGATGCCGTGATACATTCTGGCTGCACTTAGGTCTTCTACAGGGCAAACAGTGCATTCATGACAAAGGCATAACAGATCTTCTTCTGGTGTGAACACAAGATTTCAGACCTAGCTACCAGGTCATCCATTCTTCAAGGGAAGAGTGCTCTGGGTAACTGTCCCTCAACACTTCGTAGTGCTGGGAGGTGGAGGTAATGCTGGATGACTGTCCCCTGCCACACAGTAATGGGGGTAATGCTGGGCATGCCATAAGCACTTTGAGGCAGGAGCTGTCTTTCTGGGCTGCAGATGTGCCCCATCTGGAATAAGGACATCCTCTTCCATGAGTGAGATGCCAAAGGACTACTGCAGTATCTGTAATAGCAACAAGCCCACCTGATCCTTCCTAGGACTCGGGGAATCCCAGCACTGTAGAAGTGTTTCTCTGGCTTCTGGGTTGGAAAAATGCCACCAGTTGCTGTCAAACTGGCATCTCTCACTTCTTTTTCAGGCCCAGGGGTATTTACATCCTTAGTATTTCCCTGGTAACACAGTCAGCTGGCATTCAAAGCTAGAATGAGTGGAGAGTAATTAGCCCCACTGAGTGCAGCACAAGGTTGCTAGCAGCTCTACAGAGCAAAGACTTCTTTCTGAAAGGCTTTAGATGCACAGATCCCAAAATTATAGTGGAAATGGTAAGTGTCTTGCCTGTCAGACATGACAGGAGCTGAGAAGCTGGCGGCCATCCGCCTGGCTGATACTTAGATGACACCTACTGGTGAAGTGTCCCCACTCTTCAGGGATATTTTCCATGCACAGAACAAACCATTCTCAGATGTACCATAGCACTGGGCTTAACATGCCATCCTGCTAAGAATAAGAGCTGCCTGCAGAGAAAGCATATCCCTTAGCTTAAACTATGAACTGGTATCATTAGAGAGTTTAGCGCCAAACCACAGAAGAGAAATTCCTTGAAAATGGCATCCCCAATTCAGTATTTTTATCTTGGTTCTGTCTCACACTGTAATCCCTGGAGTTTGAGTAGGGGTAACTTTTGGATGCGTGTTTAATCTATCCAGGGGGGTATGCAAAACTTCACTGGACAGGGCCTTTTGCAGGCTGGTGCCACTTCGGAGTTGACCCTGCTGTGGGTCAGGTAGGTGGCAGCCAAAAGTCCCTCCCAACCTATATCATCCTGTGATTCTGCAATGCTGCCATTCTGTCTGCAAGTGTTACAGCCATACACTTCAAATCAAGCTTGAAAATATTTTCAAGTCAGTGTTGCTTCTTACTCTTCCAGATACCCTCAGCTTTTTCAAACAGCAGCAGAATCGGAGGGAGAGGTGGGAACAAAGTCATGTGGCTGTCAGAAAGCTCTCTCGGCGCTCTGTCAGCAAGGAGCGATGGGTGGAGACGCTTGTGGTTGCAGACAGTAAGATGGTTGAATATCATGGAAGTGACCATGTGGAATCATATATCCTTACTATAATGAATATGGTACGTATGGCATTTCCTTTTTTTAGATAGGTGAATGAAGCAAATTTTAACTTCATTATGTCATTGATCTCCTTGAAGCAAGTCTGTAATATTGTTCACTGAAACGAATGTAGTATTATTCATATATATTCATTGAAACTCTGTATTTTAAAGTATTTTTTACCTTGTATTTTGCATAGGCATAATTTTTCTCTGGATTTTAAGTGAGAGAGGTTTCATAGCTATAAATCCTAGCACTAATTTTCTTTCCACTGAAATTCCCTGTCTCCCCTGGAGCCTGTTGCTCATTGGTGATTTCAGGTTGGTAGCTACAGCAACAGAGAGAAATTCTACAGTTTTAAGCAGCTCACTGGAGATTGTAGTAACTTAGCAAGAGCTAAAATGTCAGTGTGTTACTGTTTTGGTCACAAATCCAAACAGCACTATTTGAGCTATTATGAAGAAAGTTAACGCTGTCCCATTTAAAACCAGTACAGCTGTTTTTCTGGATGAGTATCCTGCCTACAACACAAAGTCCATGTTGGGAAAAAAAAAAGTTTATCTTTCAGTGTTTTCCTGTGTGGCAAGTCTCAAAATGTAGGTCGGATCTGGGAAAAGCAATAGTGTTTCATGAGACTGCCTACAGATATGTCTTCTGTTATTATCTGTATCATGGTAGATACTGACCTTGGTAGGTCTATTGAGGATGTCTTCTATGTTGTTATCATGGTATGTGTGTAATATATGTGACATTAATCACAGTGTAATTCTAGCCATGGTAACCGATCTGTCCCTTATGTTTACACAGTATGTTCCCAACTGTCCCCCAAGCAGTCTGACTAGCTACTGAGGCAGTGAGCCTGATAAAACAGACACAAAGCTGGTATGAGCACATGAGGTTTTGTCCACACAGGGAGAATATGTGGAATAAAACCCTGTCATGATCAGATTCATGAACAAACAAGTCTTAACATTTTCTCTGCAGTCTGTACCTGAGATATTAGGGTTAATCACAATGATTCAATTTTCAATCTAGTATCTTGAAAAAGACCCATATCCAAATCAGACCTTTGTAAACATAGTTCCCACTTTATTTTGGTAATTTCCCCTTTAGTGGTCTTCTCCAAAACAGTTTTGACCCAAATGCAATCCATTTTGTCCATTCATATTTCTTGTGATATATGGCATAGCTCACATATAGATAGCCTATGACTATCTTCTCTTCTGATTCCCTTTCCTTCTGCCTAATTCAACATTGTGATGACGTTTATGACATTTGGGTCAAGTTTTTTCTGAGTGCAGTTCTTGCTTGTTTTTTATGTGGATTCTTTTTTTAACTGGTTCATTTTCTTTGCTTTTGTTCTTATTATCCTCTTCTGTGCTGTGAAAACACAAGAGTATACATCATTTAACTGATTTCTCTTTGCCTAGTACTGACTAATTTTTGCTTTGTTGTGGCAGAAGCTGATTCCTATCAAATCAAAACAGAACAATTTGATATGCTGGTTTTTTGGCACCCTGAGTGGACTTTTCCATCAGTGTTATGTCACTCTAGATGTTGCGTTCTTTTCTGCTAATGTTTTTTAAGAACTCTGTAGTTCTTGAAAGGGAAATGGACATAAAATGATCTTGTGACTCCTTTTGCTCTTTAGCTTAGTGACTTTTGCCACATCCTGTATCATCACTCATTTGGCAGAGCTGCCTTTTGCAGTAGTTCTAACATTTATTGCATTTCAGTAAACTTTCAATGAAGTGCATTGAGGATTTAAAAAGCAAAACAACACCCCCACCCCAAAATGAGTAGTGTGCTTGAAGTAAATGTTGTATTTTCTCTCTAAAGTCCTGTTCTGCTATAGAGGAATCGGTTAATCTCATACCTCCTGGCTCTGGCACAGGTCACAGGGTTGTTCCATGATCCAAGCATTGGCAATGCAATTCACATTGTGCTGGTCCGGCTTATCCTCTTTGAGGAGGAGGAGGTAAGGTTTTTATTTTCCTCAAAATGTCACTTATAAAACTTGGGAGTTCAATGCATCAAGCTATAATTATAGAGAGGAGGGTTTATTTGCTTAGAATGTGTTCATTTTACTCTTCTATTAATCTTTGGCATGTCTGTTTTTAGAATAAATGCTGTCCTGGATAGCTAAGTATTTAGATGATGACTTAAGGTATTTCTGCATAAAATTGCCACAGAAAATGTAATTAAAACAGACAAATTAGGAATGGGGAAATGGAATCATATCAAAAGAACATGGGATGCCAAGGAAGACTAGATGAGAAACGGAAATTATGCATCATCACTCAGCATCTAATTACCTAGCATTACCTGAAATGTATTACAAAGTGTAATGCTAGAGTATTTGCAGGTCTCTGAAGAGGTAAATCTGTTACTGTGCAGCTCAAACACACGTTTTTCTTTTTAGATCTCTTTCAAAACAAAAAAATGAAGACTAAGTAGGTACTAATTGCTGTAAACTAGCTATATAATGAGATATAATGATACAATGAGAATTTCTCTCATTCAAAAATATATTGCTACATGCTTAAATACATGCTGGTTGTCATCATTTTATAGTTATTTTAAAACACTGTGCATGACATAGCTTGCTCTGACTGCAGGAGCACATTAAGAGGATTTTCTCAGTGGCTTGTGATGTATAACCACAAGGTGGATGGTCCGAAAGCTATTGAAGGCAGTGAACCAAGCCATGGTTGTGAACCAGGTTATGTCTTCTGAAATAATTATTAGGACAGAGTCTATCCTTAGAGCCCTCAGTGTAAGGATATGCAGGCCAAAATCTGTAGTTTGCATCTTAACAGGTCAGTTAGGACCTGAAGCCCATGATGATGTCCAGTTAAGTTTACTTGCTAAATTTCTGTGGCTGTTTTGATAATAAACCATGGATTCCTGTTCACTTTAGCATGGCAATGTCGGAAATAGCAGCATTGGATATCTTTCAAAATTTGGTTTTAAGTTAGCCAGAAACTACTGTCTGGTAGCAGTATTATTTAGGTGCTTTGTAAAAAGTTTACTTTACTTCAGTAGAGTAAACTGAGACAAGATACAGTGAATGCCCAAGACCAGAAATGAGAAAATATGTTTTTGAATTAGTTTATTTTTGCATACTTTGTATTTCAGAAGAAAGTTCAGTAACTTGCATGTATACTATATAATAACAAGATGAGGAAGAAATATCTATGACTGCATTGTTTCTCTTCAGAATTGAAAAATATTGTGAAAGAAGTACACCCTTAGAAGCAGAATTGTTCCCTGAGCATGACTTTGTTGATGTAACATTGAATGGCAGACTTGAGCATGAAGTCCCACAGTAATTAGTCTTTGCCTTCTCTTTAGAGGAAAACTCGCTTTCAGGAGAATATAAAATGTTTGTTTGAAAGTTTTAATTCAGTGTTGGATCCTATGAAGCTCACTTACCAAAAAATACGTAAATTTCTGCGTTGAATTTTTCTTTTAGCTGCACTAATTACAAAAATGTCAACACTTTAACTTAATATTCAATATGTTAGATAAATACATATCATTACTTATAATGATGGCTCTAGGTTTAGGCAAAAGCATAATCAGTTGTGTTTCAAAGGTTACCCAGCTTCTTGGCTAACATCACTGACATGTTATTGCAATGCAGTGTGGTCTTTATAATAATATTTTCCTTCATTTCCCATTAGCAAGGCTTGAAGATAGTTCACCATGCTGATAAGACACTAGCCAGCTTCTGCAAATGGCAGAAGAGTGTCAATCCCAAGAGTGACATCAACCCTACACACCACGATGTGGCCGTCCTTCTAACCAGGTATGACAGCGGTTCAGCAGCTGTGACTGACTATTGTTTAGTTGTGGTTTTTTGGTGGTGGTATTTTTTTATAGGCTCATGCCATCATTTAGTTCATCTGCACGGAACCCAGAAAAGTGGTCTGATGAAGACATGCTGTTTCTGAAGCACAGTGTCAATGCAAAAATAACCTTGTGTAATCGTGTCTCACGCTCATACAGGCAGAAAATATGAGCGGTATTACAAAAATGTGGTTAAAGTTAGACCTTCTGTACCTTTTAAAGGGATTGATTTTCATTTGTTTTCAAGGTACATATAACACTTTATGTTTGTATGTGGGTGTTTAATTATAGATGCATCTTAGTCAGGAAATTGAAATCTGTATATCCCGAGAGATTAGCAATTTGCAGAGCTCAGGTCATTTTCCCCACTTGATCCTATCTCATTCTGTGCTCGATCACTCCTCTGTTCTTCTTTGAGGCAATATACCAAACAATGTAGCATGTAGATGAACAACTTCATAATGACAAATCCTAAAGTAATACAGAGGTGCAGATCAGAATGGAAGAGTGTTTTGCGAACACAGTGCTGTTTATTTTTAAGCTTTAAAGTCTATGATTTTTAAATATTATCTCCGTATTTAAGGAGACACAAAATGGTTTTTCACATGTGAGCAAGGGAGGCACAGAAAACTTAAAGGCTATGTCTGAGGTTACACAGGGAGTTTGTGGCAGGGCCTGAAGCAGAACTTGTACAGGTCTGTAAAAATGAATCCAAACTGCACACAGCTGAGAGAAAAGATTTGGTCTATGGTCTGCAAAAAAAAAGTCCTAAGTTAAAGTCCATCAGGAAAAAAAAAAAACAACAAAAAAACCCCCTCAAGTGGTGCAGTAAAGACAGTCAGCAAATCTTAAAATAAAAATGAGAAAAAGAAGTCTCACAATGATGCGTTTACCTCTCCAAATAAACAGTCTTCAAACAGTTCACTTGAATGAAGCTGAGTTATGGTGAGTTTAATAAACTGTACCTCAAAACGCTGTCAGAGGTGGAGGTTGTAAAACTTTTTCTTATGTGAGTTGACAGTAAACATACGTATTAGGCACTACAGCAGCATAAATATTGGCTACAAATTCTAGCAGTATAGTGCTACAGTAGCAGAACAAATGCATGTTGTTGTTGTGTATATGTTTGTAAAAATGTTAACGCTACGCTTTGCTTAAAATGCAAATTAGCAGTGATGCATTATAAGGTGGAGACTTACCACCCATTGTAAGTGACACTCTACAGTTGGTTTTAAGCTCTTTTAATGGCACATCTCTTTTGTGATTCTAGAAAGGACATTTGTGCTGGCATGAATCGTCCATGTGAAACCTTAGGTTTGTCTCATCTGTCAGGCATGTGTCAACCTCACAGAAGCTGTAACATCAATGAAGATTCTGGCCTTCCATTGGCTTTCACTATTGCTCATGAACTTGGACACAGGTATGGTTGAAAGTGAAGGGAGAACCTAGCTGAGTTTAATTTATAATTTGCCAGACAGAAACAAAACAAGGAGTGAGATAACTCTATTATTAAAACCATGTTTGTTTTTTCTAAGCAAAGGAATAAGAAGGAGATTCTTAAGCCTTTGACTTTTGTTTATATTTACAGCTATTGTCTGCCCCATTTAACAGAGTCTGCTAGAGCAGTATATCAGGATGAAATAATTAAGCTACAAAGAAGCATCACTTAATCGTGCTAATTTTTCCAAACAGGTACTGAATTACTATGCAATTACTTTACATGATCTCCGAATCAATCCAAATCATTTACATACAACATACCTGTTTTGTTACATCAAGGTATTTCAGTATTGCAGATTAGCTAGAAACCAGTTTTGATTCAAGCAGTCAAACTTCACAGAAATATCAAATCTTTTTTCTCCTTTCTGATGAACAAATAAAGACACTTTTGGGTATTTCTTAACAACCGGTATCTTCTGTATATTAATATTGCTATTGTGGATACACTTAAGTCAAATCAACTGAAGTTCCTGGGCTTTTAGTTTGGGACATGGCTAAACTTTTTTTATGATTGGGTATTTTTGCTTGAAATTAGATTTCTCAGTATTTCTAATTTCAAAGGATGTTTTGGCTGGTTAGTTGGTTTGTTAAACTCACCTGAAAAAATTCTGATTTTTGGATCTGTTTTGACACTGAGCTGTTCTCCCCAGCGTAAAGGCCTATCTCATGGATATTCCAGTTTGGCTATAAAGCCTGGACTTTTCAGCTGGACCATGTTGCTTGGCTAGGTGACATGATCACTGCTGTATCTACAATCACATTAATTTCATTCTGCACCCAACTACCAGTCAGGATGAAGTCTGTATTTCCTGATGGGATATAGTAATAATAATCTCATACAAAGATTACTCAAGTATTGATCCTGCACCCATTAATTGGCCTTTCTTTATTCAACCCCTCAATAGCCAGAAAGGAAATAGTGTAAGTAAATAATGCTGAAATCATTACAGTTGGATCTGGGTGCTTTGGGTTTAGTTACTTGGTTCCCACAACCTCTTGCTGATGGGGAGCTTTTTTCATTAACACTAGTTAATCTGAAGACACTTATTCTCCTTAGAGCAGTGTGTGACCTTCTCCTGGTCTAGCTTGGGTGACTGGTAACTCACTGTCCTTTGAATGCTGTGAGAGTACTGCTATACTTGCCTTTGCAGGACTGGTGCAGGGCCTTGCCTCTAAGAATTGTTTCCACAGAGAAAACTGAATACTGTAGGGCTTGTTGTGAACATGAAACCATCCTCCCCTCAAGCCAGGTTAGAGTACATATGTTAAAAAGTTTGAACATGAACAATAAAAGTCTGTAAGAACAGGTGAACAAAAAATGAGAAGAAAGCCGTGCACACGTTCCTTGGATGCCAAAAGTCAATGCTTTCCCATACTGTCCCTCTAGATGTTCGCCATCTCCTGTGTCAGCAGAGCCTGTTCATGGAAAGGATCCTGTCACTAAGGGACATACATGCTTTTATACCTCAGAGCCATTACTGAATTTGATTCAGACTGAAATAGTGCCCTGCTTTTGGAACATTTGAGTCATGGTACAATTATATTTTCCAGAAACAAAGTCTTAAGTGGTTTGAACTCATTTTGATCCGTGACTGAATCACAACCTGAGTCAGTTTTCACTGCTCTTTCGTACAAGGGCTTATACAACTTCAGATGTTAACAGTGTAGGTGTCAACATCTTGGTATGTCAATATCCTTGTATTTTATTATTGCAGATAATCTACTTCACGATGAGATGACATGGAGGCATGTATGTTTAATCAGCTGAATCCCACCCAAAGTTTTTAATGTTTATGACTTTTACAAGTTGTTGAACAAAGAAATGCCTTAATAAGTCAGAGAAGCTGGAGAGAACCATGTTGGGAAGACCTGCCATGGAGGTCTGTTTGTAAGGCACAGTTTGAGAAAGCTAAATAGGAAGAAAGACTGGAGGTTGTAGGCTAATTCACGGAACGTTCAGTAATTTGGAAAACTATCTCTGTCTCAAAAGAGATTTAAAAAGAAACAAGCAATAGAGACATGATTATAAGATAGTGTAAGACAGAGTGTAACAAAGCCTGATCTTTGTTAAAGTGATACAAATCTGGGATCCAAGAGCTAGGAAGCTGTTAGCTTTAGCAGCTTTAACATAACTGAGATTTAAACTGTGACTCCCAGGTCAACTGTGCAATAGTGTTTTGACTCCCTTAAAAATACCCCTGCATATAGCTCTGACAGCCTGTTCTTTATTTTGTGCTGGTCAGTATTACTGTACGTAACAGACATGTTTGAAAGCCTGTTGCAGTGTAGATTTTTTTGTAGGCTTTGGGTCAGATCTTCTATATGTCTTTTTAGCAAAAGGTATCTACAGCCCACCAGGGGAAGAAGCAACCTTAGTGTCTTTTTAAGCACAGTGTGGAACATAGATAGATGTTGTGGTACAGCCAATCAGCTGGAATTATTAGATGTTGGTTTTTATCTCCAGTTTTGGTATCCAGCATGATGGAAAAGAGAATGACTGTGAGCCCATTGGAAAGCGCCCATATATTATGTCCCGACAGCTGCAGTATGATCCTACTCCGCTCACCTGGTCACAGTGCAGCAAGGAATACATCACACGTTTCCTAGAGTGAGTGATCAGGTTGTAGTATTTCCCTGAAATGAGTACAACTGTGTGTGAGACATTTATGTGGAGTTTAAAGTAAATCCTGTATTATTACGTTACTAGATGTAGGTTTTTGTAGCGTGCTTGAGTTATTTCCCATGGAGGGTGTACCCCAAGCTTATTGCTTACTTAGTATTTGGGAAAAGCTCCATTATATTCTTGCTTTCTGGAAGTGAACTCAAGTCTTGTCATATCAGCTCAGGTTTGGTGCAACCTGCAGCTTTTTGCAGTTATCAGGAAGAAAGAAGCATTTCCATCAAGGACTCTGATGGAATGTCATAAATGTTGCCCTTGCCCACAATAACATATGCTTGACTTCAATGACTTGTTCAAATTCATTATGTTCTTTTTAAGAGCAGCAATATGGTATAACTTTAAGCAGAGGCTTTGGTGTGCTCTGAAGCCACACCGCAAACCATAATGACCTCATAATATTTCCACTTCAATAAACTATATTTTGCCTTTGTGACCCTCCCTAACTAGGTGGAGTGCTGTTTGTTTGCAGCACTTCAGCGTATCTTAGCTGGAATCTGAAAATACTATTTCCAAAGGCCATATAAAAAATTACCATTAAGAATTAGATATTGAAAGTCTGTATAGAAGTGTCAAAAAAGTGTGGTTGTGGGTTGGTTTTTTTTAATATGCAATTTTTGTCTTTTAGCCGTGGGTGGGGATTCTGTCTAGATGATATCCCCCAAAAAAAAGTTTTAAAGTCCCCAATCATTGCTCCTGGAGTGATTTATGATGTGCATCACCAGTGCCAGCTTCAGTACGGTTCCAATGCTACTTTCTGTGAAGATGTGGATGTAAGTGCTGTATGTTTTTCTTCACTCTCTTAATAAGAACTTAACCTTCTTGAACTATGTGGAAGTGCAGTCAGTGAACCTCAGTTGCTAACTACAAATGCAGCATGTTCCAAGTCTCATAGGCCAGATGTGTAGCGCAGGCATTGCCTAACACTGTTTCAGTTCCACTCTGCAGATTCTGGAAGTGAGTTGCTGCACTGTGTGCCTTGTATTTTGCAAGACCTTTACTGGATCTGGCCCCGTATATATTGTTACATGCCTGTCCTTCAGCAGTAGAGTCAATTGGGTTTTAAACTTATAATACTGATCTTAGGTAAATTATCAATGCAGCTTAAATCCCATTTTAAAGATCAAGATACTTCAAGCTTGTAGCTTTCAACTGACCAAATTGATTCTGTGAACAAATTTTCAGTTCCAGGAAGAGTTTTCTGAAGAAACCAGGATTGTGCTCTCTTCCCCTATGTCCTGATTTTTCACACTCTTGATGGTCTAACTAATTAAAGGAAATTTCAGTCTATGTACCCTGAAGAATCTTTATTTTCCCATAAAATATGAGCTTTTTATGTGGAAATATGTAATTTACAAAGTACCCTGGGGTTTGTCTCACAGCACAGCAAAAGAGTGTTGTATGAAGATGCAAGGGAGCAGTATAGTCACAGCAGCACAACTCTCTACAAGAGCTAGGAGCCACTGCGGAGTAACAGGTTGTATTAGCTAAGGCGCAGTGGTATGGTGTTTTAACTGTACCTAGCATGTTCAGGGCTATTTGGCTCCGTACAGCATTTTTCTACATAGAACAGGTCAGAAACAGTGGCTTCAAGTGTTAGTCTAGCTAAGTGATCGCTAATTTTTGCGGTGTTCTGGGCAGCAATATGCAGCAAACATTGCAGACAGCATCCGGCTTGCTCCCCTTGTTAAACAGGGCTGTGGCAGAAGTGGCATCATGGCTATCAGCAGTGCTGGAGTGTTTTTTAGGCAAGGTGTTGTGCACAGCTGTGGATTGGGGACTACTGATGTTGACTGTTTATTCCATTCAGATAATTACATGTATCCTCATCTACCTTTGTATTAGGGAGATTATTTCTGATTTATCTTCTCAGCCTTAACAGATAACATAATTACCAGTGTTGAACTGCAACTACTGAATCTGAAGCAGGTATTGAAAGATTGCTTTCATTACCTGCTGTTCCAGTTTCCTCAGTTACCATAATTTGTCTGTTGGTACAGACAGAAAATTAAAGGTAGTTTTGCAGTATTGGTTCATTCTACCTCTCCTTGGGTTTGAAGCTAGTAGGCCTTTTACATTCGACATCTCCTGATTAACCAGTTTTACAGCTAGACATATGTCAGAAGATTAATTGGTATAATCTCATTTTGCATTTTAGTGGAAGGGCTGTGTTTTACAGGTAGCTGAACTGGCAAGGAAAGGAATTGTGAATAGTATAGTCTGCCTGGCATGTTGCATGATCAGTGTAGTCATTTTGTCCAAGAAGTCTGTCTGTTCTTTGCCTTTCCACTCTTTACTTAACACTCTTTACTTAACACTGACCAGGCTACATTTGTTCTCTAACTTTCAGCATCTGACTGAATTCAATCCACAGATTCTTTTTGAGAGAAGAATCTGTACTTAGCTGAAGATGTCCCAGGGTTTAGTGATTACACTTAGCAAAGACTGAGGTTTATAATTCAGATAGTGGTTTCCACAAACCATTTAGGTAGTAAGTCCTCTAAGCATCTTGTGAAGTACATAAATATTATACCTCTAATAAGAAAAAGAAAAGCAAAATACAGAATAGGGGGAGGAATTTTCCAAGTGGTAGGTAGATCCATAGTTTCCTATAGGACAGGGTGTAGGAGCTCAGAATCCTTATCTTATTGCCCTCTCTTTATCTCCAAAACTTTCACTGACTCAAGTTTTCTTTAAGGCACAAACTCTGATCTTATAGATTGGGTGGAAAGTGTATACTGTATTGCTGCTTATAAAAATCACTTTCCTTGCAATGAGTCCATGGTAACGTCATGAATTTCTGGCTGTTGCCTCCAAAAGCACACAGTAAACAGTGCTTTTTCATTTACTGTTGTTATTCCAGGATTCTTAAAGATGGAAAAAAGGTCTGCTACATGGAGATCAATATGGAAAAATTCTTGCAAAGCTAAAGAATTTCCTCTGTGAACTCTTGACTTTGAAATCTATGAGTGCACTTCGTAAAAATGTAACCATCAGTGGAAAGCTGTGTTCAGTTCCTATGTCTTTCTCTGGTGTCTGAAACACAGTGCAGGAGTGCACTTTATACACTAAAAAGCACAAAACATATTCTTTATACAAGATTTAAAATAAGTGATGAATTTCATAATGAAAGAAAATTCATCAGCCAGAACACTTGCGTAGCTCTGCCTTGAGAACCTGACAACAATGGCTTAACAAAGAGTTGCTGAGTAATGCTGCTCTTGAACTATCAATAGGGAACTGCAAAACAACCTTTGACTTGTATACGTTGCCAAAAAGCAGCTAAATGAGGCGAGATGCAATGTCCCAGACATTGTATTCCAACTGGAGATTTGGGCTGCTCTGAGATGTTCTGTACTATCAACTTTCTTTCTGGTGTTCTAGATGACAACCAAGGTGAACACACAATGCAGAAAGTAAATAAAAGGCAACTTTCTCAAAACAGACTGTGCCCCAGCTTAGCTGTTTTAAATAGAAGCAGGTCAGAAACCAGCAGCCAAGTTTTGCATTTCACACTCAGCCAAATGTTGCTGCTAGCTCATTGGGGCTGGATTTTTGCAAGTGACCAGTTTCTGTGTTGGCTCCCAAACCTGGCATGTTGCTTGCTCTGAGAATCCCAGTGGATGTTGCTAGTGAGATTGTTCTTATTGACTCCTTTCTCTGATGACACAGCTATCCCTGCTTCACAGGTAGATGCTGCCAGCTCTGTTCCCTCTCTCAGTGCTGAACTCTGTGTTTCAAACAGCCTCAGCCAAGACCTGGCCCAGAGCCCCTGGGCTTTTGCTTCTGCTGTTCCAGTTGGGAGTGCACAGTCTCTCTGACACCCCTGGTTTCCCCAACTGGGAAGTGGTCTTCCACACAAAGTCCTGCTCATTCAGGAGTTCCCAAGCATGCAGGGCTCCTGCATGTCAACCAAAGGAGATGCTGGTGTCCATGTGAACTGAGGAGGGGGGGATAGCCCTTGATGTCTGTCCTCACTCTCTAGAGAATAGTTCTGTTTGAGTGAAGAAGACTTGTTATAAGGTGGCTGTAATGTTTCTTGCCCTGCTAGCTTTGTCAGCTCTCAGGAGTTTTTGTCCCTTCTCTGGAGTTGACCCCTGCACGTGGAGCAGCAGTTGAAATGCTGTGCTTTACTGGCAAGGTACTACATTAAGCTGGCACCAGTTTCTGAGTAACTTAGTATGCGTGCATTCACTAAGCAGGGCCCTTACTCTACGCAGCCCACTACGCTTTTTTCTCTGCTAGCTAGCCTGGACTGCTTCTTTTAGATCATACCCTTTGCCATCTGCTTGGCTGATGTTTTAAGAGACCTGTGTTTTGATCTCTTTTTTTCTCATCCAGTTTTGGGACCTCCATGAGTATTAACCTGGCTGTTATACTTGGAGACATGACGTTTTTACTTACCTGGCTGGCTTCTCTAACCTTTTTTGATTTCACTGTATGTTTTCAGGCAGACAGCAATGCAAAATTGAACGTTGTATTCATTAGTACTCATAAAATGCAAATAGTACAATCTCTGTTCACCTTCACTATAAACAGTAGTGCCCAAACTTCATAAAGCCATTTTTCTGGTGTGTGGCTGTGAGCTGAGCAGCCAGTGAGGAGAATATTTGAATGCATGTAGTTCAAGTAATTCACTTGACAGAAAGTATTCACCATTTTGTATTTGTCAGGTAGTCCCTCCTTGTACACCAAGAAGGAGTTCCTAAATTTGGACCCTTGGTGGGTGCTAACTTTATGGAAAACCCTGAACATCTGCCTTTGGAAATACAGCCCTTATAAGGCTTTGTAAATGGATGTACAAAACTGTGGGAGACTTTTGAAAATCTTAGCTGTAGAAGTTCAGCTCTGCTTCAGACTGCTGCAGTTCCCTTTCTTTTCCAGAACCTTTGCCAAACACTCTGGTGCTCGGTGAAAGGCTCCTGCCGCTCCAAACTGGATGCAGCTGCAGATGGAACTCGATGTGGAGAAAACAAGGTGACTGTGAGCCATGCTGCCTGGAAGCTGCGCTGCCTGCAAAAGGGCAGCAGAGGAACCATGAGTAGCTCTGTCATTGTACAGCGTGAAAGAGGGGCATCCTGTGATGTCTCCATTTGCACTTCCACTTAAGTTTTCGACGTTCAGGGACTGAAATAACAAACAATTCACAATAACATTTTCCAGCGATGGTGATCTTAAGCTGTTTGTCCTTTCTCTTCTCTCTTCAGTGGTGCTTCTCTGGTGAGTGCATTACAGTAGGCAAGACTCCCGAAGCAATCCATGGCGGATGGGGCCTTTGGTCATCCTGGTCCCATTGCACAAGGACATGTGGGGCAGGAGTTCAGAGCGCAGAGAGACCATGCGATAACCCAGAGTAAGCTGAGTGCACAATCTTTTCTTACCTTTTATTCAAGACCCTTGATGTACTTATGACATTGGAAACTCTTTTATATGAGACTGTTATCAGCAGGTGCCACAGCAAGACAGACACTGAACACCTCTCCTTCCCAGTTAAGCATACCTGTGTGAAATTCAGTTGGCTCACCTTTTAGAATCGTCATCTCGTTCTTTAATCCTTACCCTCCATGCAGCTTATTTCTACACAAAATGAAAAAATCCTGTTATTTAGCATTCAGGCTTTGCAGAAACAATAGAAATGTTGCTTTAATAATACTGCCACTCCTGCCAGGTGAAAACAGTAGCTGGCAATCTGTTCCTGAGGGAAATCAAGGACTCACCTTTCATGTCTTGTTCTAGTCATCAGCTTTGTTTGAGCTTCAGACACATGAGTTGATAGGTACAGAACATGAAAGGCAGAATTTTCTAATACATATCTGAGTTCATGAAGACCCTACATCTCATTTTCAGAAATCACTAAGAGAGTGCCTAACAGCAGAAATCACTTGGCTTTTCTGGAAGAACCATCAAGCATTCTGGAAAATATGGTATTTTGGGGGAGTTCATTTAATAAGGTAATTTGTTGTGAGTTCAGCCAGGCAATGCACCAAGCACTTATTTGGGATACAGAGTTTGTCTAGATCTCTGTGCTCCATACTGGCATGTTTGGGTACTTGAACATGTGAATGGTATCTCTACCCTGTCAAGGATTCAGATTCACCTTGTTATCTCATTGCAACCTGAAAGACATTGCTCTTTTAAAACTATTTTTTACACAGAATCTCATGTCACAATCTAAATGTTCCTTTTCTAGACCACAATTTGGAGGAGACTACTGCACTGGAGAAAGGAAACGCTATCGGATGTGTAACATTAGCCCCTGCCACAAAGGCTTGCCAACCTTTCGTCAGATGCAGTGCAGTGAATTTGATACAGTTCCCTACCAGAACGAATTTTACCACTGGGTTCCTGTTTATAACACAGGTACGAAGCTACAAATTTTTTAAGATCTTGTGCAAAAAATCAAACTTACAGACCTATGAGAAACCTCTATGAGGGCAAGAAGTCACTGAGTTACAAGTCTTTAATTAGAGATAAAAATCTGGTGTGCCACCATATGTAGGCATGCCTTTCGTGTATACACAAAGGCAGTGGTTCTCCTCTACACATAGATGTTTCTTCAAAGCTCTGGTGTTAATGGCTGTGAGTGTAACTAGCCCAGTTCCTGGAAAGATATTGCACACAGAAAAGCTGTTGAAGTCTTGTCTATACTAATTGTTTGGGATTGACCTAAACCATCTTTTCGAGTGTCAACTGCAGAACAAGAAGTACAGTAGTATAGTGTAGAGCTGCATGTTTGGGCCTGCAGGCATCACTGCACCCAATAAGCAGAGCTCTTCTGCTGCACAAACATGGCTTTACTACTTCCAAACTCAGATCTGCATGGTAAGTGTACCTGGCACCACACTGAAGAAGTACTACCTTAGCAGGTTCGGTTTTGTACTGCCTTGTATTGTAGAGACAGAACCGATGCCTCTGCCTTATAACTTGCTTTGTAACAGCTAGTTACTAATTACAGGGGTTATAGTTATTACCATGCAGTTTAATTCTCGGTGTATGCATAAACGTAAGATGTAGATTATCCAGTAGAAGCTAGCAATTTTTTAATGAAAAAATAAACCAGAGAAATGAAACTCGAGATTGAACTTTCATTTTCATTTGCCAGTATTATTTTTCAGCTTGTTCATTGCATTTTCACAGTTACTGGCAGTTCTGAATAGGTTTCCTAAATTTCAGCTACTGTTTCAACTTTTTCTAAGAAATACACCATTGACGATGAACCTGGAGCAGACAGACTTCCAGGAAAATTTCTGATGAAAGAAAATATGGTTGATAGAAAAAGACTTTTTCAGAAGGACTCCCAGTAAAACAAACCATGCTAAATGCTAACAGGCTAAGGCTTAGTCCAAAGCCAAACTCATAAACCGTTTTCTACAGTCAACTGTCACTGAAGTCAGAATTCCAGTCTTCTCTGTTACTCACATGTACCACTGCAAGGTACAGCCTTGGTTCTGTTCATGTCTGCTCTAGGGCAGAGCTACAGAACTGGTAGTTCTGCATGTTCATTTGTTGCAGAAGGTCTGCTTTTAAAGGGAATTAAGAATCATGAATCAAATGCTTCCTGCACACTGGAAGGCAGGCCTATGGTATGTCCATGCCATATTTCAAATAGAGCTGATTGGAGCTTTACAGACAAACCACTTACCTTTAAGTGCTGCATTGCTGAGCCTGATATATTTCATCTGGAACATCCTGGGTTTCAGTGACCTTTTACAAAATCCTTCAAATGCCAAGGATATATTTTTTCTGTGGCTTAAAAAGCTTTTTGACTGTTTTCACCTGTTTTCTCAGCAGCCAGAATTTCAGTCTAGAGTTACATATCTCCCCCATGATCTGTGATGTCCTTGATGTTTGCAACTTCTTTTTTACATTCCATTAACAGCACTTGAAGTGTTTTCTTGCTGCTAAACTCTTAACTTTCAAAAATCGTCGCTTCCTCAGATAGGCCAGCTCTCCTGGGAACACTAATCTAAGCAGGTGGTTGGCCAAATCCTGTTCTGATCCTTCATCTGGCATCATCATTGTATGATTCAGGGTAGGTGGCTATCATGGGCACACTGCTTCCAGTTTTGTCCAGCCAATGTTACCTAGTGCACTGAAGTACATCTGATAGTTTTCCTCCCATCTCAGTTTCAAATTTTCTTTCACTTTCCATTGGTTGCTAAAGGTGTCCTGAGCAAAATAACTTCAAATAGGGTCATGAAACAGTGCTCTCTCTGTGAGATGGAGCAGTCTGAGCCTTTCTTGTGAGTGTTTGTCCTGAACAAATGACGACTTTAAACAAAAGCAAACCAACAGCCTCATGTAAACCACACACAAAAAAGAGCTGATGTTCCAGGGCTCTGGAGACTTAATCACCATATCCACCATTATGTACACTAACCTTTGACAGTGTGCACCAGCTTCCCTTACTTTTCCACTTAACTGGTGCAATCCAATTTCAAAGACTTTTCACAGCACTCTGTTACTACTTTAGCTTGCTGCCAAGAAGGTTTTGGCTTGTGTGGTGGGTTGACCCTGGCCAGACGCCAGGTGCCCACCAAAGCCACTCTATCACTCTCCCTTCTCAGCTGGACAGGGGAGAGAAATACAACGAAAAGCTCATGGGTCGAGGTAAGGGCAGGGAGAGATCACTCACCAATTACTGTTGCAGGCAAAACAGACTCAACTTGGGGAAAGTTAATTTATTACCAATCAAATCAGAGTAGGATAATGAGAAATAAAAACCAAACCTTAAAACACCTTCCCCCAACCTGTCCCTTCTTCCCGGGCTCAACTTCACTCCTGATTTCTCTACCTCCTCCCCCAAGCAGTGCAGGGGGATGGGGAATGGAAGTTTGGGGTCAGTTCATCACACACTTGTCCCTGCCGCTCCTTCCTCCTCAGGGGGAGGACTCATCACTCTTCCCCTGCTCCAGCGGGGGTCCCTTCCACGGTGTGCAGTCCTTCAGGCACAGACTGCTCCAGCATGGGTCCCCCACGGGGTCACAAGTCCTGCCAGAAAACCTGCTCCAGTACTGGCTCCTCTCTTCATGGGGCCACAGGTCCTTCCAGGAGCCTGCTCCAGCGTGGGCTTCCCACGGGGTCACAGCCTCCTTCAGGCACCCACCTGCTCCGGCATGGGGTCCTCCCCGAGCTGCAGGTGGAGATCTGCTCCACTGCGGACCTCCCTGGGCTGCAGGGGGACAGCCTGCCTCACCATGGTCTTCATCACGGGCTGCAGGGCAATCAATGCTCCGGCGCCTGGAGCACCTCCTCCCCTCCTTCTGCACTGACCTGGGGGTCTGCAGGGTTGTTTCTCTCACACATTCTCAGTCGTCTCTTCCGGCTGCAGTTGTGCAGTAATTTTTTTCCCTTCTTAAATACATTATCCCAGAGGCGCTACCACCGTCCCTGATGGGCTTAGCTGTGGCCAGCGGCGGGTTTGTCTTGGAGGCAGCTGGCATTGGCTCTGTTGGAGACAGGGGAAGCTTCCAGCAGCTTCTCACAGAAGCCACCCCTGTAACCCCCCTGCTACCAAACCCTTGCCACACAAACCCAGTACAGCTTGTGTTTTATTATCAGGCATTTTAAATCCTCTCACACTGCACATGGGTTATAAGGGGAAAAGAAAATATCATGAAGCTTTCCCAAGCCCTGAGTGCATGTAACTGTTTTTGTGTGGAAGCATCTAGTTAAGGAGATGAAACCCTGAACTAAACATTTTGTGACATTTTAGACTTTCTGCATTCCTTCATCCTGCTGGAAAAACAGTAAATGATCTAGATGGTCACAATTATCTCTCCTGGCTTTAATTTCATAGCTTACATAAACCGGTTGTAATGAGTGACAAAGACTTCTTTGAATAGCTTATGATTTAATATAAGGTGAGATGCAACAAGCAGCTTTGACAAGCAACCTGGCAGAAAAGCAGTGAATGACATCTTGCTATTACCTAGGCTAACTATATTTAAGGTTCCAATTGAGATTTTCCCTTCTGTTTTAATTGAGTTTGGGCCTGTTGAGGAACTTGTGTAGTCCTATTGTCGATGTGCCCCAGAGCATGGAAACCCATGAGCTCAAGCTGGAGCACCTGAGTATCCCTGGGAGTCTTAAAATGAAGGGGACTTCCAAGTTCAAGGGTAGCTAAAGTATCCAGCAGCTCTGACCAGGATATTTTCTGAACTATTCTCGTGAGCCAGGCCCCTACTTTGACACTTTAGTCAGACTTCGGTGCTAATCTACTTCTCTTGCCATCAGGCTGACCCCACATTTATTTCTTTCACACCATTTGTCAAGTTACATTTATCTGAATCTGATGGCTTCTCAGGGCTTAACTTCTATGTAGTAAGTATGAGTCCTACACTGAATCATATAAATACCTTTCTTTTCTCAGTCAGTGCCAGGATCATCTCATGTACTGGCAGATAGGGGTTATGTTGCTAAAGTATTTTAAATTATATATTTCTTCCAAAATATGTCTGTGTATCAAGTAAGATCTGTATTGATACAGTCACAGGGGCTAAGCTAACAGTATGAGATATGTTTCTGCTGCCACAGCTTTGAAACTAAACTTTCTTATGGAGTTCCAAGCTTGGTTAACGTGATAAAGTAGCTTCACCTCAGCTTTTTTTTTCCGTTTTGTCTGTGTTTGGTAATTGTCTTTTCTAACTTTCTTTGTTTTGGATTTCCTCAGCCAATTCTGAGTTCTCATAGAGGTGAGGGTTTGAAGGGAAGAGGACCACCTCTTTTCTTCCTTGTGAAGTAGGAAAAAATATTGAAGCCTTATCTTCTGCTGGCAGACACGTTAATCACATCCTTCTCATTCAGGTTAAGCTAGATCCTTCCTGTATGTGAACTCATGGGAGTCAGCTGCAAGGGAAACAAATTTAAATGGGAAGGGAATATGTTCCTTTCTAGTTATCTTAATATTGTTCTGTTTACACTTGGTGAATCTGAACTTCGTCATAATGTACATAGGGGAAAAAAATCACATGCCTGAATTTTAGGATTTTTACTTAGCTTTCCTGGCTTGCTTCCTCAGTCCCATTCTGATTACAAATAAGTCACTGGGCACTTATGGGAGCTCTGTGGCTTGGGATTCCATTACACCTGGGTTTCTTCTATGTATTAGAGGATTGATCTTGTCTCTAGTCAAACCAGCACCATAATCTTGGTGCAGGATATGGGCACTACAGATAAAAAACAGGATGTAATTTTTCTAGGCTGTTGGGTGTTGGTGGCACCTCAGCTAAAATCTTATGTCCAGCTAGGAGCAATGCACTGCCAGAAAGATGCAGCCACGCTGCGGGAGGTTTACAGGAGAGCAACATGGAAGTCAAATGATTTGAAAAACATAGTTTATGGGAAAGATTGAGAAAAGCAAGTTTTGCTCTAGAAAAGAGAAGATGGAGTGAGTTAAATGCCAACTACGTGAAGAGATTTCTAAGAGTATTTAGCATGCATATCCCTGAGCTAATAGAGATAACAGGCTAGCAAGACTGCATGGCTCCATGCAGTGTTGTGCTCGGGTCCAGTAGAAGCTGTCGACATCCAAGCTCTTCTGTGCCCTTGTTAACTGACTTTGACAAGCAGGATCCCGTGGTCTTATCAGCTTACTTTGAATGTAGCTCTTCTGCTTTCGAACTTGGATTTGGCTTCAAGTTTTCTGTCACTGTACATCATACTGCAACGTCCCATCCCCTCCACTCAAGCAGTACAGGAATCCCCAGAGAGACGGATCTGACAGTTCTTCATGTCCATGAAAGGCAGGACAAGCAGAAACAGCCAAAACAACATGAGGGAACTTCATGTTGCATGTTAAGAAATCTTCATTGCCATATGGGTGGTTAAACTTTAGAACAGGTTACCTATAGGGTTTAAGGAGTTAATATAATCATTGTAGATATAAATACAATCTAAGCAGGAGCAGTCTAAGTGGCTTTGATCCTATTTTGGTGTGGAAGGATGAGTAAAATCCTATAGGCTTTACGCAGGCAGAAATCAGCTCTGTTTAAATGGGAATTCAGTGTGCTTTTTCTGAACAAGGATTGTGTGAACATGGTCATTATTGAGTGTTCACAGATTGGAACTAGTAGTTCATGCATATGCTGGATTGCAAGAATTTCTGTATATTTTGGCCTAAAAGTTACTAAGATGACGGCCTTTTTGTTAAAGTCTCATTATGAATTAATCAAATTTGCTGAAGTAACTGAAACTAAACCGGCTGCTTTATTGAGTTCCTTCTGAGCAACCCTAGTGCTTATACTGATCGCAGTTTAGTCTTTTTAGATTTTCAGGACTGGAATAAGATTTAGAAAATCTGAATTCAATGCCAGTCTTTGCTTTCAAGTTGTTCCATCATTTTTGGAAACGTATTTATTTTCCCTGTGTGTCAGTTCCCCAACTGAAAATAGGAGATGAAAGTACTTTCTACATCAGTCTCTGTTTCGTGTTTAAAATGTTAGACTTTTTGAGGACAGTGGCTGATTCTGGTACAGTTTGTTTACAGTCCTAGAATAATGGAGCCCTGATCTTTTGTCAGGTCCCTGAGCTCAGCTGTAAAAAATAATGATAGATAAGTAAATAATTTTAGAAAATGAATGGCTAATAACAGTGCTAGGATAATTTCCTCAGTGGTGCCCTAACCAGCCTCCTTTGCAGATGAAATAGCAAAATAACTTGAAGAATGATGGCAGGAGTATAAATATTGGATAGGATTGAGTTTGTAGGGAGGGAGCAATAGCTTCTCATTTCCAGTGGGGCTCACTAGAAAACTGATAGGAAGAAAAGCAATACAAAATTTGTGGGTACAAGTAGGATCTAATTTTACATTGGTTACTACAATTAGGAAAACCAGGAAAGCTTTCATGCCTAGAAAGCCCTTCTTTGATTCATGAACTATTGCAAGTCTGAAAGTTTGCTTGTTATTTATTTTCACTTTTTATTTTGTCTTAGTAAGGGAGTTACCTTTCTCTACAAACTTTTTCTGAGTTATATACTTAAAGCATCATAGTTATGTCAGGAATATGTCAGCAGTCAGCACTGCCTGCTTTTTCTTGCTCAGGGATTTCTGAAGTGAAATTGGATACCATCTTGCTTGTTACACACAGCTAGCGAGGAGGTACAGACAGCAAACTGCTGCTCTACATATTTCATTACAAACAATGTAAAAGCTGAAATGGCTTTCTGCAAAGTCTGTGTCTGTCAAGATAGATTCTGAGCAGGTAAGAGACTAGCTGGGATTCTGGGATCCTCCTTTTCATAAGGGTATTGTGCTATGTGTTTAAAAAATGGTGCATTGAGAAGGTAAGCAAGGTGGAACAAAACTTAGAGCACTAAAGTAATCAATTAGCCACATAGCCAGAAAAAGATTTCTGCAGATAGAAGTGAAATTACTTGTATCACTTATCACGACAGCTCTTACCAGAACAACTGATGGATGTTATGGCTGGCAGTTTTCACAGAGGGGCTTGAGGGCTGATGAGGATTACAAACTTTATGTTTTTGCCTGAGACTCTTTTGTAGCCTCATCTCTGTTGATAATGTTGAACATGATTTGCATCACCTTGAATTCCACCAGTTTTATAACCTTAGTCCATGTGTGTCCTCTGCCTCTAATCACTCTATTGCCCTTCCCAAAGGCATCTTTGAGAAGCCACAAGCACAACATTGTTGTCAGGCCTAAGATGCCATTTTAGCTCTACTGACAAGAGGGAAAACACAAAACTCCTCATTTAGGTTTTGGATTTCATTTAGTATCCTTTTCTTTAGTTTTTTGGATCCCAGTTCTGCAGAGATCCTGTTTACGTGAATGGGATTCATAGTTTTAAAGCTCAGGCTGTGTACAATTGAGTCCTTAAGCTGCAAGCACTTTGGCAGCAGGAGCTGCTGTCACTTTTGTGCACTGCATGGTGTTGTGTATACGTTGGTGCTGTACAAACCAGAGCAATGAGAGCGAATTTCCCCCTTCAAAAGAACAAACTCTTTTGTAGGAAAATACTTAGTTTCTTTGCGTTACCAGAAGTTTGAATTTCATTACTAGAAATTCCTCTGATTTTAAACACGGTTCTTTGTATGACACAACCCAGGTCAACAAAGGAGGAAGAGGGAGAAAGACATTCATCAGCCAGGATGTAGAAGATTTATAGTTACTGTGCATCCCTCAGAGACCAAAGGAGTGGCTTTTGTCGGCTCTGTCAGGCACAGGACGAAACTGTCACTCAGCAGAGGCACCTCTACAGCACACAGGGAGATTGTATTAAAATGGCTCAATAATGGTGCCTTGAGTGTCTACTGACTGGCAGTTTTAAGGCCCACTGCTTTGCCTAGCACAGCATTTCAGCTTGCTGAGCATGAAGAAATTGCTTTAGCACCTGGCTAGACTGGGGTCTTGGAATAGACCACAACCAGAAGATGGGTCCTCTGTTGCTGTCCCTCATCAATGAGACAGGGGATAATATTTTTTTTTTTTTGGTCAGATAGCTCTGGCTCTGCTGGAAGATTTCCAGGGAGTGGTATAAGAGCAGGGATTATATCTGTCTTTGCTTTGACCATGGTTTCAGTTCTAACTCATCTTCCGTGTACACAACGTGTTTATCAAACTTGTGTCCTTTGACTGTCTGAAGCCTGAGTTTTGAAATTTCCCATTCCCAAGGGCCAGAGTCTGTGAGGCAAGGCAGTGTATGTTTGGTTCTTCTTACTCCATGCATGGAATAGACTAAGGCTGGTCGGTCCATTGCAGAAAATCTTGTTTCAGAGACCCACATATTGCTTTTGCTACAGCTTTTCTCTTCCCTGTTGATTCCATGCACATCTATCCAACAACAGCCTGGGTCTGTCAGACCTGCCAATATTATCCCCATTTCATAAGTTGCCAAGCAGAAAAGAAGTCCAGTGTTTGAAATAATTTATTAAGTGCCAGTGAGTAGCTGAAAATAAGCAGTGATGCGACAACCTACTGACATGCAGAAGATCAGAAGCAACCATTTGACTGCTCTCTGAGAGAGGCTGGCAGCGGTGATGAGCAGTTATAAATTATCTCTGAAATCACTCAGTCATCAGCTGGTGGAACACTGTTGCTTGGCAGTGTCCTTAGCAATCTCACCCCCAGATTTCTCCTTTCCTCTCACTAATGACAGCTGGTTTTGCTGGTTTCCCATCCCTTTCTCCATCACAGCTGATGGCCTCATTACTGCTTGACTCAGCCAGCTAGCTGTTAATGGAGAGCATAGAGGCATGAGGGCACCAGCCTCCAGCTGCTTCCTAGAAGTCCACAAGTGGCATTTATCAGGCCCATGTCGCTCTGTCAGCAATATGACCCTGGCTCTGCTAACTGTTTCTAATTAGGCCATTTCTGTCAAATGTCAGGGAAAGTGAGTGGATGGTGCAGAAAAGACATACTGTCATTCCTTGTGCATTGCAGTTCAATGTCCCACTGAAGTATTCTCTGAGAAAGTATCTTTGTTTTCCTTCCAGCAAACCCCTGTGAGCTCCACTGTCGCCCAATAGATGGCCATTTTTCAGAGAAGATGCTTGATGCAGTCACTGATGGTACTCCTTGCTTTGAAGGAAGGCACAGCCGAGATATCTGTATTAATGGCATGTGTAAGGTATTGGGTATGTTTGCATGTTTCTTTCTCTACAATTTTAAAAAGTTACAGGAAAATGTTTAACAAACTTTTTTTGAGGATCGAGGCCAAGTACCCCAATTTACCACATTTTTAATGATCACGGAAACAAGTTTATAGAAACAGCTTTTCCAAGTAGATGCAAGAGTCATTTCCATCCTTTTTAATGAAACCATTAGACTGAATGCTAATTACTTTTGGTACCTTTTAATGCCTCTCTTCTTCTTCTGCTATTTTAAAACATCAATTTAAGAAAATCTGTTTGTTTCTGATGAGATGTTTTCACAAAGGTTTGTAGCTTTAGGGTTGTAATTGGTGTCCCCCCTTCTGTGGTTTTTTTTTTTTTTGTGAAAATGCAGTTTAACATTACACATTATGTAGCAGTTCTGAATTGACTTGTAATAGGATCAGACGTTTGCACTTGAGGGCAGTAAAAATTATTTTAATTTACAATAGTAAATTGAATAATGCTGTACAATGAGATAGCAGGCAAACACAGAGTATATGGCTCAATAATGTTCTGTTTACTGAAGAATAAGTATAAAGTTCTCTGCATATTCGACATGTTGATAGTAGGTTTCCAGGATGATGTGTGTGTGTGTGGCATTTGAAGGTGTGTTCTGTAAATGCTGTAACACCCACAGTCTCAGCATTGGTTTTAGTGAATTTCTCATAAATAAAATGAGTACTTTATTTGTAGGGGATGTATTTACAACTACAGTTTATTTCTTTGAATTGGGGATTTGTGTCCTGTACCCCTTTGAAGCCTGATAGGTTTTTTGCTTTTAACATCTTTGGAAGCAAAAGCAGGACTTGGTGTCTTGTGGAAGCTACATTAGCTCCCTGTAGGGAGCTTGGGATTGTATGTCCTAAGTCATGGAATCATATAAAAATGCAACTAGAAGGGACTTCAAGTAGTCATCTGTTTCATCCCTTTACAGAATCATGCTCCTCTTTTGACATTTTTCACATTTTTCACATTTTTTTCTTAAAGTCTTCTAGTGATGGAAACTCCACATTTTTAATAGGTCATTGGCATACCCTCTCTGAAGACTTTCTGTTTTAGTAGAATGCCAGTGCCTCAAACATTTTGTTTAAAGCTTTCCTTGCAGGATGTGCATTTGTGAAAGGGAGTTACCAAGACCCTGCTCAAATACACAGTGAAGAGATTCTGCTTGAATTTGCTGAGACAGGATGGGTCTTTTACCTATGATGGTGAAAGACCTGACCTGGTGTTGAGCAGTTCAAACCAGATGGAAACACATCTTTAGCATATTGAAACGTATAGTAAATGTTGCATACTTCATCAGTGCTTTTGACTTTTACTTGAAGTGGCCAAGTGCTAAACTCAGAAGGCTGTCTTTGTGATGTTACACTTTCATTTTCTGATTTGCAGCCCAAATGGACTGGGATCACTGTGGTTAATTTTAGTTTCCATATGCTTTCAGTATTGAATCTTGCCTGTGACAGTTCAAATTCGTACCTATTTTAGAAATGACAAAATTTCATTCATCAGAAGCAATAGATCAGAGGTGAAACAAAAGCTAATTCTGATTGCAGTTTGTAGATACTAGATATACTTTAGCATTAATAGTTCTGGGGACTCAAAGTCTTCCTAAAAAATTTCCTCCAAGGTACTGGTGCTATCATAAATATAGTTTTGTCAGCATTTCACATGTTGACTACTACTTCACATCTTCTAACAGATTTAATGGGAGTCAGAATCACAGAGTGAACCATGTAATCATGCAGCTGCCACAAATGAGCCCAAATGATGAATAGGTAATCCAAATGGCTCACATTTCTGAAAGACAGTGTTCTTTTATCTGAAATAGGTACCCAACATAACACTTGAGGAGAAGCTTTTTCAAGTATCTCCATATAATTCAGTAGTATTTTAGTCTAGCTAGTTAAACACAGTACATACATTACAGGTCACGATGAATAAACCTGGAAATGCATTTAATATAATTAGTCTGGTACATCATTCTTGTACTCTGTTTGCAATGTGTTGCTACCGATGTGAAAAAGGAGTTCACAAACATTAGTGGTGATGCCTCTTAAAGCCCTGTTCTGGTCTTCAGTACTATATCTCAAAAAACACTTCACCTTTCTTCTGAATACTAAAGTAACACTTCACTTAGGTCTGAAATTGAGCAAAAAATTAAAACAGTGAGATGTTGTATGTTAGATCCACTGTCCATATCACTCACGTGTTTGGTGTGCAGAGGAGCTATTTTTTAACAACCAAGTTCAGAGTTTTCCTAGTGGATATGTCAAAACAAGATAGAATCAATCAAGGATTTAATCTCCTAAATTCAGCTGATTTCAACCTGATTTTGCAGTTTGCCATGGTTTTGTTCAGAGCGATCAGAGAAATTGGTCTTACCTTGATGGCTAAGTGTAGACTGAGATGCCTCATTTTAGCTACCTGAGGCATACTGGGTGCTTTCCTAGCCACCTTGGAAAAGCCATAAGGTGTGAGTGGGAAGTAAGTACAGACAGACACTAGCGCTGATTCACTTGGCCCTTGCAATTTGTCCAATACATGGGTCTTAATTTTTTTAGAAGTGCTGTCTATGCCTCAGTGCAGAAAGGATCCTTACTGTTGAGGTGTTGGTATGGTATTCCTTTAGAACTTGCCTTGTCAATTCACAGACAAGTTAGAATTGTTAACTCATTTGAGGGCCTGGCATATAAAATAGATGGGTACTCTCTCAGCTTTGTTACGCAGAAGAGGAGTTCCCTAAACACATGTAATGGTGTTAAATTGCTCAGTGCTGGAACCAGTGGCTGCAAAGGGGGATCTCAAAGCTATGTGCCTGCAGTTGCAACCATGTTTTGTTCCAGGTGGTGCTAATAAGGAGATGAGAGGTGTGGTCCCTTTAATCCTTTTATTGTATTTGCACCTAGCCTGGCCTTCCTCCAGGTGCCTTCGTAGACCCTCTTCCTGTCATGATGTCTGACTTATAAACAGCTTCAAGTAGAGGGAGTCAACAAGGTCTGTCAGTAATTTAATCTAAAATCATCAAGATATACCATGACTAGTTTGCTATTTAACCATATTCCTCCACACTCATCCTTTGAGTGTCACTTTTTTCCCTTTATTCAGAAGATCTTTAAAACACATATCCTATCTTTCTGTGTTTTAAATTATACATCACAAGTGCACTCTTAATTCTTGCTAGAGCAGTCAGTTGCTCCCTCAGTCTTAATAAGCAAAGATACTGCCACCAGAGTATCTTGTCTGAGTAGTGATACATACATGACTGAGAAGTTTGGTCAAATACAAGCCATGGCATCATCTAAAAGTGAAGGCTTACATGGTGTATGCACTGAGAGTGTGCAGATGCTGAGTGTGGAGGACCTGGCATCTCTGCTGTTCCTAACAGGCATTCATCTCCTGCACAGGATTTTAATAGGCTTAAATGACCTTCAGTCATGCAAGTCTGTGAGCTGTTCTCTGTGGTAATTCACAATTGTTATGCTGAGAGACTAACGCTGTATTGGAGAATTACACAGCTGTGTAATACTAGGGAGGAAGGTGGTTTTTTATCTTGCTGAAAAGCATATTACACATCTCAGAGATTTTTGTAGTAGCTTTACTATACCTCTCACTATGATTCAGTCTTCTCCCACTGCTAGCCTGACACGACATTGATTCAGACCCATCTAGACAAATTATAAGAGAAATAGGCACATTGGGACACATTTCTCTCCATTCGAGGCAATGTCATGGCCAACATGACATGAACATGATTTCTTTATTTGGAGATCAGTGGGGAAGACAAATGGAAGGAAGAGCTTAAAAGCACAATGTAGCATCCATGTAACTTTGATATCCAGGTCGTAGCCTTCAGCGACAGCAAGGATTTTTTTATCTGCCCCACTGCTGCCAATGTGACGTGAAAAGCGCTCCCTCTAGAAGTGGCAAAAGGGTAATAACTCTGGCTGTTTTCCCTTTAGTCACTGAGCAGCAGGAAAGAAATTATCTCTCCTTCCTGTAATACAGTCAGGAAATTCAGGTCATTATTTCTGCCTCTGCACTGTGTGCTTGGACCAGAAATAAAGCTAGTCTCAGGTGTGTCAAAAAGGCTCTTGGTGAATGGTGCAATGGCAAAGGGCTGCGTGAAGGGATGCTAATTTGCGCTGCACTGTGCTGTGGCACACAGTGGTTGCTGTAGCACAGCATGTTTCATTGGCAGAGGGTGCACAAGGACATACATGTGCAAAAGAATCGGAGCCTAATTGCTGCTGATTTTGTTCTTGTTCTGTAACCTGCATGTAGTCTCCAGATCCCTTTTAACAGGCAATTTGGCAGAAATTTGAGGCACATTTTTTAAGGCAGTTTTAGAAGATATGGCTACTGTGTATCTAAAAGAACCAGAAGAATGATGAAAGCAAGTAAAAGGGAGGAGGAAGCATCTAGAAATTAATCTAATGGATGACAAAAATAATGTGATATTCACTGGAGCAGGAAAGTAAAACACGGCCTGGAAATTAAAGTTCATGTAAATGTACTTAGAATGAATAACTGCTGGAGCTGTTTATTCTGACACATGAGAATATACACTTTGTGGTGATCATTAATGGCCTTGTAAGATGAGGCCCTATTGCTAGATATGAAGGTCATTGCACCACCAGCAGCCCCCAGAGCTAAGGAATAAATATAAGGCTTTATTTACTGTGACACAGTGAATTGCCTGCCCTGCTGCTGTTGTCTGCAGTGCCTCATTATTGGGGATCCCTGCACCTCACCCTACTGCATGTATAGGTAAGACTGTGATGTCTGATCAGATGCTATGTTTCAAGTATCAGAGGAAAAACAAAATACAAGCTTCTGTGGTTATAACTGAAAGGGACAAAGGCATTCTGTCATATCGTAGCAATGTCATATTTTGATGCCATGGATGTGTTGCTAAAGGAAATGTATGGCCAAGTGGGAAGGATATGAGCTGGTTCTGACTGAGCTGATAAAGTCTACAGCCCACACAGAGACACTAATTGGCACCCCAAAGGCAGGAAAGTGATGATACTGTGGTGCTGCTACCAGACTCATTTGCTAGTACCAGTGCAGTTGTTCAGGGCTAATTTGTTCAGTGTTTGGGGGTTTTTACACTGCACAGTACTCACAAGGGACATATGCTCAGTGTTGTTCGTTTCAAAATATCTGACTGACATCCTGAACTAGATAAATTATTTCTGGGTGCAACCGCTCAAACAAGCATGAAGAGTAAATAAAGATGAACAGAAGCCTTTTCAAGAACACACATTTTTCAATCAGAAAATGCTAATTTGGCAAAAATTATACAATTTGAAGACAAGTCATTTTTTTTAAGAAGTTCAAAAGAGAAGCTCCAAAACACTTGTGTAATATTTTATAATAGCAGAACATGAAGTGCAAGGGTTCCATTTCCAGATTTTCCCCAACTTTCTGTTTAATAGTGAATATATGCATAGAACAGGAAATAAACTTCAACTTTCAGGACTCCCCATAGAGGCTGGTTACTCCTCTGGTCTTATAATACACCTGATGACAATGACTTTGCTAACTGTATGAGGTGATTAACATATGTACTGATAGTACAGTAAATATACTGCAGAATGCATCTCTTTAAGAAATCAGCTACACACCTACCTCTTTAGATTCATAGGAAGTGTTAAATATAAACTGCAGTGCATCTGTAGGTTGCAGGTGAAGAGTCAGATCTGAACTCTTGGCAAGACAAAGAAACATCCTGCACTTATCGCAGTGGCGTCTGTGTGCTTTGAATACTTCATTAAATCCATCCTTGGTCAAATAGCTGCACGCTTGGAGGCAAAAATGTAGTCACCTTCTTAATGTGTACTTATCTCTGTACCATTCTATACTGCTCATAAACATGGTCCTTGGTGATGAGATCTGTCTGTGTGAAAGACATTACAAAACCTTCCCTTTCTTGAAAGTAGCCTTCACTGAAAGGAGAGGGAAGCTGAGGCTGCTGCAGAACCTTTTGGCATGGCCATTGTTTTTCAGAGCAGGTATCAAAGGTGCTGGCTAAGTGTTGGCATTAAGTGATGGATGAGTCTTTTTTGAATCCTCTGTAAGAATGCGAGGTGGTTTAACACTTTGTAGTTTGAGGCCCTTCCTTGCTTCTGTTTTTGCAGCTTCTCTAGCTGTTCATTAAATCACTGGCATATAGAGGAAAAGTTCAGATGTTTCTTGAGCTGAAAATGACAGGAAAATATTAGAGAATGCAGGAACCTTTACACCTAGATTAGTCTAATAGATGGATTTTCCTGTCAGAAGCTTACAGAAGATTACAGTAGCTGATGTACTGAAAGTAAAATAAGATCAAAATCAAAAGAGGGGATACCCAGATTTTCATACATCAAGAGGGTGTTAGAGAAGTTGGCAGGTATCGCACCTGAAAGCTTATTTTGAAAAAAATCAGCCAAGAAAAACTTTAAGTACTACCAGACTTGTGGCTATTCATCTAAATCACAGGCCTTCAGATATCTTAGATACTGTTAACAACCATTAAGTGTTGGACATTAGGTTGTGTTCTGCAACCTTGATAGTTTTTTAAAGAGAGGCAAAACCCACCCCAAAACCAAATAAAGATTTTCTTGAAGTTTAAAGGCATTAATGCACAGAATTTTTGGTTTGGGCAAGGAAGAAGTTTTGTCCTGACTTTGTCCTGAATAAATTTTTCTCTCACTTTCTCCTTGTAGCAAGCATGAACTGGAAAATCGGTCTTTACTAGAACTTTATCTTGACGCATTCCCCCATGCTGGCAAGCTGGAGAAGCAGCTGTCATGGGTGTAAAACTTCATGTCTGCTGAAGAGTTTCTCTTTGATTTCTCTGTGCCGGGGGGTTTGACTGCAGCAGAGGTTCTGCACTGTCTGATGCCCACAAAAAGCTAACACAGAGATTTCAGTTATGTTACTGCATTGTATTGCTAGTAATCTGTGGATGCTTCTATGACATAAGAAAGCAGACACAAATCCTAGGTGTATTGGCCAGTCCTGTATGTTGAGGCCATTTGGGTGGCATGTTTCCATCTCAAGTAACTGGTCACTAGTATATGTTTCATGATCTGGTGGTGGTTGTTGCTTGCTTGCTTGTTTGTTTGTTTGTTTTTCATGTTCATATAATACACATGAGTTTGACCTAGGTATAACAATCTCTACTATTAATTTGTTTATATAGGTTATATACTCTTCCACAAAAATGATTCTTCCCCTTCTTATAAGAGCAGAGTACACTGAAGGCAGTGATACATGAGCTCTGAGTATTTCATTGTGGAGGCCACATTTATTCTGAAACTGTTTTTCCTTCTAGACTGTTGGCTGTGATTATGAGATAAATTCCAACGCAACTGAAGACCAGTGTGGAGTTTGCCTGGGAGATGGCTCTGCTTGTCGTACAGTGAAGATGATGTTTAATCAAAGTGAAGGATTTGGTAAAACAGGTTCTTCTTTTAAACTCTTAAGTTGTTGAAGTCATTTCTCTACATAAAAAGGATTAAGCGCTTCTCATTGCAAACTGAGTGATCGATCTTCGTAGGAAATTGTAAATGGATGTTTCACAGTGAATCATGCTTCTGCCAGAAAATATCTGTCGTCTCTGCTTTTTAAGTTCACCTTGTCTAATGAAAATTATGTCAGAGACCAACAAGTCCTACACAAGTTACGCAGATAATAATAAAACCCAAAATAGAAAGTGCATTTACAAAATGAATGTAATTTTCTACCTTTGAAAATCTGGACCAAATCTCTGGACAGTGTAAAGCACCAAGCAAATGCTGGAGTGAGTCGTTTGGGGATTAATTTCTAAGTGTCATAAATCTGATACCATTGGCTCCTGGTGACTATGTGCCACCTCTTCCCCATGCAGAACTTTGCACTTTTGGTTGCTCAGAAATTTTCTGTGGGATGCCTCTGACTTTAAAGGGGAGAAAAGTAACTGCCTGCAGGGTTAAGGTGGTCTGAATCAGCACTCAGAGGACTGAGCCTTTCTTCACTGATGGCACGGAGACATTCAGGCTTTAAGTTGCCTTGTGTGGGATGAAGGGGAGCCAGAGAGCGTAGAAAAGGGAGTGGGAGACAGAAACTGAATGACAACCGTGGCGGTGAGATGGAGATGGAAGCGACAGCCAGGTTGAACAGCTTTGAATGGGAAATCAGCACAGGAAGGGGAGAGGTGAGAAGGTGGTGCACTGGAGAGTATGCTCAGAGCAAGGTCTGCAGCTGAAGAAGGAGGCTGGTGCAGAGATGAGAAGTCTCAAGAGCAATAATTGATACCGTGCTAGTGAGGAGGGAGAAACTGCGGTGAGGTGTGTCTTTGGCTGGCTTTTGTGTTTGTGTTTTTTTCATAAAATAATTCTGATTTGCACAAATATGATTTGTGCTAATAATTTAGAGCTGGTTTGATAAGATTTTCCAAAGTTTGAGGGAAAAGCACTTTCATTATTTCAGGTTTTTTTCTGTACTGTGTACTTGGATGGGCTTTCCTCTACGCCGTATCCCACAGGTTAACTGTGAAGATGCCTGCAACCATGCAGCAGTGCAAGCTGTATATGTGTGTGAGACTTAGAAAGGAAAATCTAGAGCTTCCTCTCCTCCAATACTACAGTAATCCTCCAGCCTCTGATCTTTGGCTTCTGCTACTCTAAAATTCACTCTGCCTTTGGCTGTGTGTGGGTTTTCCAAGGCTGCAGATGATGTGAAGTTTATTTTCAAATGACAGTTTTAGTAAAAGGGTCCAGTACTATAACACATGGGAGAATAAGTGTCTTTTATTTTATTTAAATTCATTTTGTGTTTTATCTTCACTTAGTTTTTCATGCCCCAAGAATCAATAGGCATCCCTGACAGATACTGCTGAGGGATACTGAGTGTTAAGTAAAATTACTTCATTGCTTTCTTTAGATTTAGCAAAAAATGGATTGATTCTGCAGATGCTTTGTCTTCTACAGACATTGACTCCATTGCAGATAAAATAAGAAAAAGTGTCAGGAAACACAGAGGTTGGTGGGCTCTTCAGCTTTTAAGACAGCATGTGGATCTTGCTGATGTTTACAGGTGCTTACTGATGCTTACTGAGAATAGGGAAATGGTTTTGTTCACAATATCTGGATTCTTTTTGTCTCTGACAAGTACTGTGGTATTCTGTCTTGCAATACAGATTTACGTCAGAGTGGCTACTGAACACTTTATGTAAATACAAAGACTTCAGGCTCATAAATTCAGTATAGGTAACAAAACTGGACCAAAGCATGCTGCCAGTCACTGGCAAGGAAGATTTGAAGAGTTTTTTCTATGTTTAATGGCACTGAGAAATAGAAAATCAAAGCTAATATATTTTGATTTAAAGCTTTATTCAGAACCCGAGTCAAGCAGGGCCTTTCTTGGGTCTGGTGCTGCAGCAGTGTGTATTCTGTCTGCAAGTTGACTTAAGTTGCCAGGCCAGACTAATGAAATGCTAGGAAAGAGTTTTAGTAATTCAGCCTTTCACTGCATGGGAGGGTGATCAGTTTTACCTGAAGTCTTACTGCCTCATGTTCAGAAAGAAAACTTTTAAGATCTGTATTATTACTTGGTTTTTCTTTAAAATTCTTTGTGTTTCCTGTGGATGCAAAATAGGAATAGCAGTCCAGGGGCTCCCAACGCAGCTGCAAGAATGGCAGCATTGTCTGTGTAATGGATTCCATTAGAGTTTCATGATGGAAAACAAATCAGAGGTCTGATGTGCACAGATGGTCTCAGCTACTAACACTAATATTAGCAAGTATCTGGTCTGCACCTCGTTTTCAGGAGGTTCATTTGAAAATCATACAAGTTGCTTCAGCAGAACTCTTGTGGCAGAAAGGTTGCAACACGAGCAGGGCATTGCAAAGCAGAGTCTAGGCCTGGGCAAAGAAGTCACAAGCTCTCATGTTAAGGTAGAAGAAGTGTGCTTTTATTTTGAGGTAAGAGTATTTAAAAGTCAAAATTCCTGTTATTCACGTTGTTGTGATGACTGTGAAGGAGTATTGTGTATAGCAGAATGTTTGCAAGGTGTGCAAAGTCTTTTGGAAGGGGAATAAATTGCGCTGCTGGATGAGGAGAAGCATTGGAGTAGGAGAAAGACTGAGGCACAAGGGGCAGGGGTTTAGGACTGTGTCAAGTGCAGGGAGTGTAGAGTAAATGGATAACAAAAAGGGGGAATGAAGTTGTGAGGATCAGATCCCCAAGATGGAGGCTGGACATAGCCATGGTGCAGTTATTTATCTCAGAGACTGGAAGGTCTCCTGGATCATCACTTAGGAGTCTGTTTCTAGACTACAATTTTTTTCCCATTACCATCACACACTGCAGTGCTCCCTCTATTCCATGAGAAGGCTGTATGCAACTGTACCTTGACTTGCAAACCCAATATGCCACCAGGATCCTGTGCTGTCTTCCACGTAATATTCTTGTGGTAGTGCCTAGAGCCTGGCTTAGAGGAAAATCGTGCCTCAGGAGCATGTATTTTTAAGAGAGAGAACCTCACGGGTACAACAAACTGGAGAGCAGGATGGGAGCTGTTGTGGTAAGGAGATTGATTATCATCTGACCTGCAATACTGTGCTAACCACCTGAGTGAAATTACTCCTCTCTCACAGCAATGGGAAAAGAGAAACAAGCTCTTCAGTCCTGCTGGAGCTGTGCCTACAACAAGGGTTGCATGAATTTATTCATGTTGTAGTCTCATCTGTGTTTGGAGCATATGGATTTAATTTCAATTAAAAAGGGAGAGATTAATAGCATCTGAGAGTTGCCATTTCATGAGTGTGTGGTAGCACCCACAGTATGGATGCTCCAGGATTTAATGAGCATAGCATGTAGGTTAGACAGCTGACATTTTGACTGTTATTGCATCTCAGATCTCTAGATCCTTATCAGATGAAACCGTGTAACTAGGAACAATTATATAAACACTATCCACATCATTTTTAAACAAAAATTTATTATGTTGAGTACAAACTCAAAAGCTTGCTGGTGATTAGCTTTGCTTTCGAAAGCAGATAACATTCATTGGAAATTAGTCTGAGGTTCTGGGAAATCAGGAGGTAATTTAGCTAGTCAAAAAAGGGAGGGCCAGGGAGAAGGGAGTATGATACATTGACCAAATGGTAACATCTATCACCAGACAGTTGCAATACATTTAAAATCAGGTTTATGAGCAACAGCAGGTGATTCAGACAAAAATAATTATGCAAAAACTTGAGAGGATACAAATTTTTATTTCAACAGAAAGAAAATTATGGTTTATTGGTTTTATACTTTGTGTTTTGAACAAATGTTACTCTGATTACATCTGAAAAAAAAACCTGCTGGAAAAGGACACCAACATTGCAAAGCCAAACTCTCAGGATGTGACACAATTAAGATTTTCCATGCTGTGTTAATTTGGCCCACTTGTGAGTATGCCTTCTAATCAAGTCTTTAGTTAAACGATCACACACTGTGTTCACAACACATGTCCTCTGCACTAAATGAATAGAACGTTTGGGAAAATCATTAGAACTTGGTTACTTATAATAGACCTAGACCGCTTGTTTCCTATAATAGAAGTTGTTCAGTAATCCTCCAGATTTTGTTGTTCCCTTGACATATGAAAGACTGAAAAGTTTGAATTTCCACAGTCAGTGTAGGAAACTTGCAAAAGGTGATATCCAGAAAACTCTCCCTCTTGAACATTAATAACTGGAAAAATATTATTAATGTAATTAGGAAGGGCCTGAAGTAGACAGATCCTTTTTTGTACCATAAGCAACATAGGACATTAGAACCAATACTTATCACCCCACGAAAGAGCTGCAAAGAAAATTCAGATGTTAAAACTTTGGGGCACTTATTTACGACAACAGGTTGTTGTACAGCATTTAAGTACTTCTGGTTGGTGGAGAGTGTTTATACTGAAGATCACTTAGTATGCCCAGTGTGGTTTATCTCACTCGTGAGTGAGCAATCAAAGGTGATAAGCTTATCTCACAAGAAAGGTGAACAGGATGCGAGTCTCAGAATTTAATTCATGACCTCAGCAGTGTGTGATGAGAACTGGGGAACAACCTATGTTCCAATCTTGAAGTAAGCCAGCACAAACTGCAGCTCACACTCCCAGGGCACCTGCTTGTAGAGCTGTCATCCATCCAATTTCTAAAGCCCAGCCAGGAGAAACAGCAGGAAAGCAATCTGAGTTTGTGTTCAAATTTCTACGTGAATTTCCTGTTTTTACAGTTCAGTAGCAATAGCAATAGCAGTTCCCTGTAAGGTGAGAAGCACAGAGCCTGATGTCATAGATTGCCTGTTGTGCAAACAAAATTCTGTAATAGATGCTCTGGGTCTATTCTTAACACACATACCAAAAATCACTTTTTACAGATAACTTTATACATGAAGAGCTGTTGAACTTCCTTATGAAAATCAGTAGTTTATAAAAACGTGTTCAGCTGATCGTAGTAATTTGAGAAGGTACATGGAACTATGTACATACCTGTACATTGGTGACAGATGAAAAAGTTCCTTGCAAATTGAAAAGACCCTTCCCACAAAGGACTGTTAACTTGCGGGGACTCCCTGGCATTTCTCCAGATTACTCACATTGCAGTATGCCAGAGCCCTTGGGTGTGGTTATGGAGATGTTGATGGTCATCTGTGGAGTAGATTTTCCCTGGTGCAGCTCGGAAAGTCATTCACCTCCATATCCCTTCTAAATGCCACTGTTACTGCCTAAACACAATGTGTATTCATATTCCCCAACTGATACTGGAAAACCTGGCTTGGAAAGTCACACTACTAGCTAACTGAAATACAAGCTCTGTGATAGCACATTTGTATATATTTTCAAGCAAAGCTGATGTTTTAATAATCTTATGCATAAGTAAAATGCAGTGACATTTTTGTTGTTCACCTCCATAAACCTTTCTTGTCTCTTAGGATATGTTGATATTGGGCTAATTCCGAAAGGTGCAAGGGGAATCAAAGTCATGGAAGTTGCAGAAGCAGGAAATTTCCTTGCTGTGCGAAGCAAAGACCCAGAAAAATATTACCTGAATGGAGGCTTTATCATCCAGTGGAATGGTGAATACAAAGTGGCAGGCACGGTATTTCAGTATGACAGAACAGGGGATCTAGAAAATCTGACTGCTCCAGGACCCACCAATGAATCAATATGGATTCAGGTAAATAGGAGATCACTAGCAGAACCTGCTGGTTTTGGATAGCAGCAGAATGTGCTGGGGCTCTGTAACTGAGGCTGGAAAAATACGTGCATTTGTATATAAACCACTCTATTAGCATGCTGTCTTGTGAAAATCAGCTGAGCTATTTTAGAGAGAAATAAACACCTTGCTTGAGAGGGTTGTTCATCCTGCCTGAAAATAAGTGTCCAGTATCATAGTCTGGTGATTATTAAAGGCTGGTATAATCCAGTGGTGCCACTAGAATAGGTACCCTGCCATCTGTAGTTGGTCAATCTTTTGCCCAAACTTCCTTGTGTCTTGTGCCAGCTTAGACCTGCAGGTGGCTGTGATGTCAAGCAGACCCACATGAAAAGTAACTATCACAAAAAGAGAGCTGATGCCAGGCTGTGAACAGTGAGAGCTAGGGAAGGCTGACAGAAGTGACAGCTTACACTGAGTGAGAAAATGCAGCATTAGAAAAATGAATTAATAGCTTATGGTAAGTGAAATGGATCCATTTAGCATCCACTGGGGTTGCTCCCTTTTGTTTCTTTTATGTTGCTTTATAGATTCTAACTTAAACGTAACCAGCTTCTGTTAATTCTGCAAAAATAGTTTTAAATTGCCCCTTTGTTCTCTGAATGTATCTTTCCTGGTTTTTTTGCTGGTGTATCCACCATGCAATTAAAAGAAGTACTAGGGGTGTGATGGGAGCCACTTTCACACTTTGAATGTCTGGTGAGAGGGCACATCTAGTGGTTGCTCAATTTTCACTTTCAGTAACAAGGCCAAAGAAACAATTAGGAGGAAGAGTAGAAGTTCATTGCTGAAGTCTTTTATCCCTTGATGTTTTTCTTTTCTCACTCTCATCAGCCAAATGGTAAATTTCTTGAGTGGCTCTTCTCAATTGGAATTTTCCTTCTTAATCCAGAAACACTGAAAATACTATTAAAGCAGTGTCTGAATAAAGTCTGTAGGTTTCTGGTCTAGTGGTTGTTTTGTAACAGCTATTTCAGAAGAGTAGGGAAATTATTATTTATAATGGTGATAGGCAGTAGCTCTTAATCAGCAGCACATTTGGCAGTGCCTTGGATGGACTTTGTGTTATCTTTTCTTACAGTCAATAGCATACCAATTATGCTGACCCACTTACTCCCACCTGTGCTTGCAAAAGTGCTTGACAAGCAACTTTCTTAGAAAGATACACATATCCCACTGTCAGCACACAAATGGAAGTTTTGCTAGTCTGCTTTTCTGAACTGGTAGTAGGCTTCAAAATGGGCTGCTTTAAACCTTGCTGATTCTTCTGTTTTCACGCTTTGAAAGCTTTGGCCCAGTAGATTATTAAAATCATAAGTAATTAAATAAACCACACTCTTTTTCCAGCTACTTTTTCAAGAAACTAACCCTGGAATCCATTATGAATATACTGTACGTAAAGAAGAAAGTAATGAGAATGAGATTGGAGAGCCAGAGTATTTCTGGCAGTATGGAGACTGGACAGCCTGCAGTGTTACCTGTGGAAGAGGTAATTCCTCACTTCCTTTTTCTGTTACTATTTGTCTTCATTACTGGCAAATCTCATCTTTAAGTAATCCAGATAGCATCCTCAAAGAGGTAAATGCTTTAAGCTGCATTTGATGGGAAATCAAATCACATCGTTACAATAATGTACTTTGGCTTTCAAATAAAATGTTATTAAAGCATTTAAGGCAAATATGTTTCTATAACACCTGCCCTGAAATTCTCAACCTTTGTGAACCAAAATGAAAAACTACAATTTTCTTTTCCTCATAATTCATTGTCAATATTTTTCACAATAATCCTACTTCCCGGCAATACTAATTTATGACCTGCCTTTGTTTCCCTACTGAGTCTTTCCAATATGTTGACTACAAAAAATAATCTTCATTTCTGTCCTGCCTTGATAAGCAACAATGCTTTTTGTGTATTTCTCAATAATTACTTTATTTAAATCAGTCTTGAGAACTTATATGTCTCTGCCACTCTCAGTACAATGGCTTGGGAACAGCTGCAGTTATATGGTAGCTCTGTGAAGCATATTAAACCAGACAAGCAGAATGACACCCATGAAGTAGGATTAACAACAGGTCTAGAAGTTTGCCTTTGGTAACACACAGAAAATGCTAGCAGGAAAACTTTCTTTAAAGCAGTTAACAGATCAATGAGATAATGCTTGCAGTAAACCAACAATAATGATAAAAAGACTGAAAGTTTCTTTACAAAAGTAAAGGTTTTTGCCCATACTTTGCAAGAATAATTTTTAAAAGATAAGAAAAATGTTGTGTGTGAAAGGAAGTCTGCACCTGGGGGGAGGAGACAGCAGCCTTCTGTCTGAATTAGTGCCTGAGTTTCACTGGACAGAAGACGGGTCCTGGAGATAGGATGGGAACCTTGTTCTTTGACTGTCTGTGTGAAAACAGTACAGAACAGTAGAAGATCAATGTTACAGCCACTGGACAAACAACATGAAATAAACCTTTTCTCTTTCTAATGCTAGGCTATTGTCTGTATTTTCTGATAATTGCCCTCTTTAACTACTTTCCAGAAGGAAAGAAAAAGACAAATGTTGTAACAAATCCGATTGGGAGTCTAGAAGCAGTGATGATTACAGGAGTAACAATTTTTTGATCTTTCCTGTTGGGGAAGATACTGAAATAACGCATTTCCAGTGGTTTGAACAAAGGACACTGTATGGCCTTAATTTTAGAAGATTAAAAGAATAATTTTAGAAGAGTAGTGTAAATTACCCCATCCCAATACCACTCCTATATTATTAAAAAAATATTTTGATATATATAATGGACATATTATATAGATGTTTATACATCTATATATTATGTCTGTACAAATATTAATGTGGTTTGGTTTGGGGTTTTTTTTTTGAGACGAGCCTCTCAGCACGAACCACCATGTTCTTTCTGGTTAACAGGAAAAAAACCAAAACATTTTCTTTAAATAGGTACCCAAAACAAGTGTTTTGCTTAATTGCATGCTGTGTATTTTAGTTCTGATACCTAGTTGTGAATAGTGTTTAATGTAACAATTAGCGTGGGAACAAAAAGGGGGGGGGGGGGAAGTGTTATTAGACTGTTTATTGTGTTGGTTTGGGGTTTTTTTACATCAGCTGCACTTTTCCCGGAACTGTTTCTCACTAAGTGAATTATAACCCTGTGTACTACCTTCTGGCTAAAGAACTTTGTGACTTGGCTTTGATTTCTAACTGCCACATGGATTACTTAAATAGAGGACTGCAGGATAGAGGTTTTCTTCAGTTTTTATTTAATAAGTGGCTTCCCCTGTTTACTGTCTTTGAGCTCTTAATAAATATTTCTTGAGCTCATTGGCTTTTTCTGTGCTTAAGTAGAAATGATATGTTTCAGGCAAGACTGTGGACTTACTGACATGAGTTTGCAGGGGGACCAAGAGGTGCATCACAGTTCAAAACGGGCACGAAAGCCTTCCCAGTGCTCTACATTCCTTCATGGACAGGAGAAAATAAATTAATAGACCTTTTGCTCTCTTTCCTCTTACATACATATATTTATAGAAGTAACTGAACTGGTTTAAAGGAGGATGTGATCTGCTAATATATGATGCAGTCAGGGTATTGTCGCTTACTCCCTGCCCAGAAAAAAGAGAAACCCTGGCACAGAGCTTCAGTGCATCACTTGAACCAGGGGAGCTCTGGTATTAGTCCGTCTGCAGTGTTCTGTAGGTACCTGATGCTTAATCTGGTGGTGCTCTGGGCTGTGTGAATGTGGACCACCTGTGCTGTTGTCATATTAGCTTGGCACTGAATCTGAGCTAGCTGGCCCTCCTAAGCACCACACTGGTGCAGTAATATAGCAGGTTTATGCCCAGATGATCAGAGCAGAAACACATCAGCAAAAATACCTGGAGCTTTGCTGCATAAAAAAAGGGTGTAGCAGCAGGGACGGTGTATTTGGAAAATGTTAACTCTCCATCATTACAGAAATTTGGAAACTCTAAAAGTCTTGCTATGTTTAGCAGGGAATATGGGCATGGTAGCGATCGTTAACCTAGAACCAGAAAGTCTCACACGGTTATGCATTTTTGTGGTTTGATCCCCCCCCCCCCGCCCCGAGTTCAGTTCAGCACCAGGAGGCAGAATAACAGCAGAACTGAATGTTCCCAATGTTGCTGGATTAAGTAACACCCTTCTCTGACTTCCACAAGACTTCTTTCTGGCTTTGAATGATGAGATTGATTTTATCTGAACGTACACTCTGTTTAGATTCAGAATTTATTGCCATTGCCAGTAACAGACCTGTTGTGCCAAATCTCAGGCATTTGAAGAGTTTTGAAAGGTTTGTAAGATAAAGTGCATTGAAGTAGGCAAGATCATCTTCTGCTATTAGTGTGCTGCATGACAAATCTTACTGAAGACAAGCCTACAGTGGGGGTCCAGGAGATAAGTTGCATTTATTTAGACTAAACGTAGTAGTAAAATAACCTTCAAGGAATTTTGCAGTTACGATTTGGTGACTAATAAACCAATAGTTTTTCAGGATAAAAGGGAGGGGCAAGGAAGGTGAACTATTGAACTAACTTTTGACGGCCACAGCCAGTGGGAGAAATTGATCCTTACTTAGAATTTTGTTCTCTTGGCAAACCTGGACCTGCCTAAAGATTCGGCATAGGGCCTCTCACCACAACTGGTCAATATGGTAGCAGTAAATGCAAGGACAGTTTAGCCTTTTGTAGCCACAGAGAGCAGGACAATGCAAGCAAATGCTTTCTGGAGCCAAGAGAGTGAAGCTAAGTTAGGGAGTGACAAATGGGGCTACAGGCACAGCAATGGACTGATGCATGAAAGCCTCATCTGTCCTAAGAGAAAAAACACAGGTTTAGCCCTATGATACAGCTTCTTATCCAAGGGAAATGTACCTGGAAAAAGTCCCAGTGATGAATAGTATCTTTGTAGACTGAAGCTGTCCCTTCTCAGAATTAAGCCAGGGCAGCTCCCTAAATATATTTTCTAAAAGATTCTTGGCCTCAAGGTAGCACCACACTGTGCCCTGACCCATATCCTTCCCCAACTCCATTGCAACTGAAAAAGAGAAGATGCAAATGTGCTCATCTTTTCTTTCATTTCCTTCATGTGCCCGTCTTTTGTAGTCTCAAAGAGTGGCTCTGGCCAGTCTACAGTAACACCATTTAACAGGGAAAAAATATTGTCTGAAAAATCAATGTTTTCTGTAGCAGACATACCTAATACTGCATGCAGGGTAAAGGAGAACACATTGCAATACCTGATACCTGTTTGCAATGTAGAAAATAGTTTGGTAATTACACAGCAATCCATTTCATGGCAAACTAACGCTGAAGGGGATAATTTATAGTAAAAATCCTGAGCCTTGTTCTGTCTTCGCTGCAGGGCAGTTTGACTCTGTCTGCTATTTGCTTTATGCAGAAGGGAGTTGCTTTGCAGTCAGCATGTGCGCACACCGCACAGTATCCTGCAAACTGCTGCACCCTCTGGCCGAGAGCCTGTCCCTCCAGATCCTACTGTCAAGACAGCATGTAAAGCTCTTAAGCTTTTTTATAGGAAGATTAATTTAAATGCCCACTGAGCTTTTGTTCTAGACTAACTATCCATTATTCATTCTTTAAATAATGGTCAATTAGAAATTACAAGTATAAATCCTTCTTCCTTGTCTAAAGGCTTTAATCATGTTCCTTGGAAGTACTTTGAGAACGTAACAAGGAGTAAATCGCAGTCCAGCTGCAACTAAGGGAGAATATTAGGCAACTTCAACAATTTACTTCTCCATAGATAACATCAGTAATTGGCAAACCTTCGAAGCTTTGCAAAAGGACTTAACTGTAAGGTTTGTTTGGGCATTAATTGTTATGTGCCCTCTAAATCCTTTACAGGGCTACTTTGCAAAATTACCTCCAGTTGTTCCTGAACTGAAATGTAGTACTAAACTTGAAGCATTGATTTTAGAAAACAAACGTCACGGTATTTTCCTTCGCTATTATGGGTCTAAGTTCTATAACACCAAGAATGTAACGGTTGGCTCTTGTATTGTGTACCTAACTTGTGCATGCACTGAATATAATTTGTTCATTCAAATACTGAAGTGAACTCCTTGCAGAGTATCTGATTTGATGCACAACTGTGACAGTTACATGTTCAAATTAGTTTTACAATCAAATATGCTCTTTTGCATACACATTTTGTATGTTTGCTTCTGGTCCTTCATTTCTGTTGTTCTCAGCCTATATTTTGACCACACTGATGGCTATGCAGCCAACAGATTTCTAATCTCTGTTTCAAAAACCTTCCACACACAAATGATTTTAAACTGGCACCTTTTTTGCAAACTAAGTGAAAAATCAGAAGCTGAGTGGGTCAACCTCCCATCTGAAAAGTCCTGCATTAAGGATGAAGTGGCACAGAGGGGTAGAAGCAATCTTTGAGCAGATTTAGTGAAATCAAGACCATTGTTTGGTCTGACTGTTGTCATTCATGGTTTCTCTTTTTTCCCCAGAAATATTTGTAGGGGCTTTTTCACAGAGCCGAGATGGTACGCCTCTGTGTAAAGAAACATGGGTATGGGAAGGGCTACAGTGCAATGAGTGGTAAGGTGAGCAGAAAGGAGTGGGATGTTCCCACTCCAGAGGAAGAAGCAAGATCTTTGCAGTGGGATTATGATCACAGAGGCAAGGTCCTGATGAATACAGCCAGCTTATGTGTGCATGCAAAACAGTTGTCAGCATGGACTAGTTACCACTGAGGTCAGAGAGAAGTAAAAAGAGGTGAAAGGAGGAACACAGCTACTCTCTCAGAGCCCTATAGAAATAGTGTCTAGGTTTCCCAATTTTACTTAGTTTTTAACTATATTTAGAATTTTTAATCTGTGACTTGAATATTACACATTTAAGTTATGTAACTGTGTAAATGTTTGGTAGGCAGGGTCAGTGTGAGGTGGCTGGTTTTCTACTTTTGCAATGTTTTCTAGTTCAACTTGCTCAAGCTGAAAAAAAAAAATCTGTGTATCTTTATGTCATTACATGTATACACACATATACATGTATGTATCAATATATGCATATAGGGTTCCTTCCAACTTTGGAACTGAAATATATACAGCCATGATGAAAAGCCTGTGCATTTATGGCTTATTTAAATACATACATCCATCCCAAAACTTTCCAGATTTTGAAACTGCAGTGGGAGTTCACATAACTTCCATAATAAAAATTGTTTGTGTGAATAAATAAGTTTATTGATGCCAGCAACCAGCAAATGTTTTATGAGAATGTATAGCCTCTGACATATTTCTGTCAACTGCTTTGTTTACAACTAGCAGGAAGGTTGTAACTATTCCAGTTACATTTTTCATAGCATAAAACAGAGCACTGCTCACTGGGAGTCCTGCACTAAACCAGAAGGCTTTCTACTGCTTGAAGTCGCGTAGGGACAGAGGAGAGCCACATCCAGCCATGCTGCAGTCATGCAGCTACTTCCACATCGTGTACCCTGGAGCTTGAATGCCTCAGGGAAGAGTATTAATGGGAGCACAGGGCTGCAGTCCCTTAATCCTCCCTTCTAGGTGAAACTAATCCTTGTTTTAGCAAAGTAATCTTCATGTATAACTGGAGAAGACGGTCATCAAAACCTGTAATGTTGCCAGTAATTTTCTTGTATGTCTCAATCGCAGGTCAGAAAGTACTTTAAAAGCTATAGCATTTCCTCACAGTGTCACAGACCTGATGTCTTAAAACTGTCAATATAGTGCTATAAAAATGAGATACAGGTTTCCATCTGCTTCTATGGAATGTCCCAAATATGCATGGAAAGTTTTTAATTTCCTTGTGTTGTGGAGGCCTTTTTCAGTAATATCTGACTACAACCTCATCTTCACACATGCGGTCCGTGATCAGTTCTTCCACCAAAAGTTGTCTCTGTTGCTAGCTTTGGATTTCCTAGTATTAGAGTTGGCATTCTGTCTTTTCTGTATTTATTTTTACAAGTAGATTGTTAAATTTTGGAGAGGAAAGAAAAATTGAATGCTGTAAAATTACTTAAAACAAGACAGCCGTAATGCTAGCGTGAAATTTTAGGAAATATGTTTTAATTGCCACATATGGGGACATTGCTGTGTAGGTGAACATGTTGTATAGAGGAATATTTTCATATTTCCCAAGTATTATTATCTATGGATTACTGTTCTTATCTTCCAGATAGTTTCCCACACTAGTTATTAGGAGGTCTGAGGCAAGGGAAAGCTTGATTCCTAAACATACTGCAAAGTAGCCTAACACTTATCCCTGACACTATAAGAACAGCACTCTTAGGCCCTTTGCTTCGCAGAAGGATAAAAGTTGCAGAGATACAGTGACCTACCATCTGCATATTAACTGCTGTAAATTAATTTTACAAGAGTTAATAAACATGTTTCTTCAGTCTTTTTAGTCCTTTGGGATTTATTTCAGCCCAATGTCACTATTTTAATGTCTCTATATCAGCCTAGCTACAACCTTTCAAACTGTAATATTGCAATACTTTTTTTACACTGGTTTGCAGCACGGGACCTACCTGAAATTATTGCAGAACTCTCTGGAAAGCAGGCCCCTGGAAACTGGCTTTCTTTAGATTCACACTAGGGTAATGCAGTATTTTGGTGCATGTTCCTTGCTGTTAAATGAGTGGGAGTTTTTATAAGTGGAACTGTTAAGAAATAGCCCAAACTGTATGTATGGGATGTCTCTCTGTGTCTCTTCATCACTGTGGTTTGCCTCTTGTGATGAGTGTTGTGTATTAGTTATTTAGAAAACAGAAGATTTTCTCCCTTATGTTTTAGCATCATCATTTTCAGTAAAGATTTGTACCAAAACTTCTTAAAAGTGGAATTCAGAATTAAGTCACAGGGTTATAGTTTTGTTCATATACCCCATTTTGTATTCCACTTAAACAGCCTTCCCAGAAGTACAAAGAAAAGATCAGCAAAAATATTGTTGTGTATAGCGTGATGCTGCTGTGTCTGTGAGCAATCCAAGACCCATTCATAGCTGTTCAATCCTGCTTCAGGGCCTGCCAGGAGCCTTTTCTGAGGCTGACAACTAAATTAAGATTAAGGAAAGTGCTTTCTAATTTGTTGCTTGAGCTATCTGATCCAAAAGAGATCTGCTTAACACCTCTTCAGCTTGATTAAAGGATGCTCATACCTGACTTAGCTCAGACATTCAGCAGAACTGACTTTCACAGGTGTTACTGTATTCTGGGATGTGGAGTACCACCAGGGTGTACTCTGCAGTCTAGAGGATTTCTGCAGCTCATCCCCAACCTGCAGGGATTACTCTTCTGGGTTTTTTTGTCTTTCTCTTGCAGGGGTGCGGCGCCAGATTGCCCACTGCATGTGGAAGGGAAGTGGAGTAATCAAAAACTCCTTCTGCGACCCAGCAACACAGCCAAATGCGCGACAAAAGAAATGCTATGAAAAGGACTGTCCGCCCAGGTAACGGATGATGGGAGGGCTCTGGTAATGCAAAATACCAAGCAGCCTTATTCAAAGGAAAGTGTTGGTTCTAATACCAGATTAGTGTGGCATCTACGGGCTGCCATGGTGAGAGCTCCCAAGTGTTTCAGAGCAACGTGGCAGAAACCCAGTAACGGACGAAGAAGGAGTGAGCTGCCCTAAGAGGTTTCCAATGCAAGTTACTGAGCAGTCTGTGCTGGAAATGGCAGAGATTGCTCTCTGATGTGTATAGATACTCTTTTTGGTCAGTTTAGGTGCAGGTATGCCTGAAAACTATATACATTCTTATTTATTTTAAAAATTGTATTCCTGTCTTAACTCAAGTTATAATGTATTACTGTGTGTTCCAGAAATTAACTTCCAGAGAGGTTTTTTTAAGCCTTTTGATACTGTTTTTCAGTATTTTTTATACTCCTTTTTCTTTTTGTGAGGGAGGATGAGTGGAAATGCCCACTTCTATAACTCTAATTACTGTACCTTCTTTATAACACTTAGATTTGGCGTCTTTTTATTTTGTCCCTTCTTATTTTTTCTTTTCAGCAAAGTGCAGCTTGCTTTGTTCTGTGATCACATGGGAAACATTTTTTTCCATTCCCATAACATTATTTTCATTCCTCTTCATCTCTGTTTTTTCTGTTCTACTATTTTAGCAAGTAAAGTAAGGAAGACTAACCACAGCAAACATTCCAGGTGACAGCAGAAATGTGGTCCTGTAAAATAGGCACAGATTTGCCGGAAGGTATCAATATTGGGTTTAGTTTCATGCTTTAGGTACTGGAACATCTTGCTTCTGTCTTTCATTGTCTTTGCAAATTGTTTATCATGCTGTTCACAATGGTATACTAGTCTTTCCGTAGTAATTTTAGTTAGATCAGAATCAAATCGAAGTCATGACAATGATTCCCATAAAGTGTATCACATTACATTTGCTGACAGAGAATTTCATGAAGCTTTAATGTAAAGAATTCTGCATGGCTGTTGGTTTTATTAGTTGTTTCCAAGTATCTTCACAACAGTGTATGATGCCTGCTCTGGGAATTACATCTTTGCACTTGCAGCGTCTGTAAATGACTGATAAAAGCATAAACCACCAGCATTTCATAATTCTTTGTAGATTGCTAGGACATCGGTTGACAGTAGATCAAACTTACTAGCCAGTTGACTAGTTAAGAGCTGAGGCTGCCCACATGCATGGGGATGTTTTTTATTTATAGCATGTATAAACTGTGTCATTTATTCCAGAGTTACAAATGAGCTCAATTTATCCTGTTTGTTGTAAGTGACTGAATTATTCAGACACGCTCTTGAAAGTGAGGGAGCAGAATTTGTCCCTTGTTGGACAGATTGTAGAATTATGTGACATGTGAACCAAGCTCTTCTGCAGGCCAGGCAGAAAAGCTCTCATATGCTGCCAGCCTGAGTGATACTTCTCAAGCTCATTCTGCACTGCAGAGGAAAGGCCTAGTTACCCTTCTGAGGGTAGCAAAATACTGACAAAATACAGTGCAGGAAGCCCATACATTTTTAGTTCTAGAGTCACATTCTGTATTTATTTTTCTCTTAATACAAGAAGAGTGACTGTAGTAGTTTGACCAAGGATCTAAGTGCCCGTTCTGGCTCCCACCAGTGCTTATATGCCTAAGGAAGAGTAAAGGCAAGGCAAGCATAAATTATATCTCTTTCTAATTACTCTTCCAGCTTCCAACTGTTTTTAATTCAAGGTATTTCCAGAGGCTTTCATGTCTTGTCTAATCAGTAACCTCCAGTGGACCTCTCTTCCAAGTATTTGTCCAGCCTCTCTCTGCAACCTTGTAAAACTTCTATCATATACAACTTCCTCTGCAAGAAGTTCCACAGCTTAATGCCTACTGTGCGAAGCACCACCTCATTTTAATTATTTTGAACCTGGCTCTCTCTAGCTTCTGTTGGTGGCCCTGAGTTCTTCTATTGGCAGAGTTGGCAGTGAAGAGTAAATTCCAGTGACCCTTCCCAAGCCCTTCATTTTGTAGATCCGGTCTCTGTTCCAGGCTGTAGTACCAGCATGAGACTTAGTTGGTATTTACTTTCCATGGCATATGTGTCACCTGTAATCTGGACAGATAGTTACACATCTCCATCTGAAATGCAAGACAGGACTTAGTTCAGTTTGGTTGTTTGTTGGTTCTAAAGAAAATCTGAATGTTGGAGGAAGGTGTGACTGTCCCATATGGCTTGATGCAGCATAACTGAGAGTTCATGTGAAGCTGCTGAAGAACAAGTGTTCTCTAGAGAGAGGTGGCTAAATTCTGTGCTAGAGTTGAGGACAGTGTTGTTAAATACAACTCTGCAGGGGACTTTCGGTTAGTGCTTGTAGTCATGGGACTGAAACTGTTAGATGATCTTCCACTTCCCAACAGTGAACCACTTTCTTTGTGGGAACATCCTATCTAAAACAAGTATCTTATCTTGCATAAGCCTCCCTTCTATGATCTGCCAAATCCCATTGATGGAAAACATGCTACCATGAAACTAGCTATTAGACCACTAAATTGGAATTAGATAATTTATTAAGCAGTAGCTACAGGCAAAGAATAACATTAGTATAATATTTGTGATTCTCACAAACAAGATCTTCTCTCATTAATCCATTTCAGGAACTTAATTATAAACTGTATAAATGACAGGCTTCTGAGAACTCCAAGTCTTAACATTCTTGTTTGTTAGCTGATTTTGTCCAAATTTGTTTTTCCCCACACTTTCTACTAAAAGAATCTGGAGCAAAACAAATAAAATATTTAGAATGCTGTAATACACGTATAACACATTATTTTGTTCTGAGTCAAAGATGGCTGAACAGTTGAGAGTTAAAATGTCATACAACTCTCATGTAAAACTTGAGTGATACTGCTTAGCAGGATTAGAGCAAGACTGTAGCGTAAATGCATTCTTTTTTCCATGTTATGCTATGGAATATGGTTTCCAGTTATACGTTTCTTTGGTAGGTAGGTGTTTAGCTCCATAGGTGTTAATGAGAAAAATTAATAGGTACTACTTGAAGAAAAAGAGTGACATTTTAACTACTTATAGTGTTGTGAATAAAAGTTTTGCTCTCCCCTGTAAAGAAAATTGCCTGAAGCCTTTTTAAGCTGACTACCCACTTGAACAGAGTAACCATAAACAGATTATTTTACAAGTACTTGGGATCTCCTGCTTTTTGTGTGCTGTTACTATATTGTCCTGCTTCCAGACTGCTTAGTAGACTCCAACAACTTAATAAAAATAGGAAATCTTGTTTCTATTATAATACAGAGTGAAAATCAGTGCCCTGTTGGTATCTGCTGTGTCTAATGCTATACAAATCATAGTGAAAGAATACAGTCTTTCTTTAGGTGTGACACAATATGGTGGTAGGGTGGGAGCATTCAGCCCCATAGGCATGAATATAGCAAACTTTGGTTCAAAAATCCCATGCTACTACTTTTTCAACAGGATCCACACCTGATTTGACACATATCATCTAGGTATAGATGAGGATTATATAATGGACAGAGCTGTCGGGCCCTGCCTTACATTTTACAGACCTTGGAAACTCAGCATGGGAGGAAAAGAGATGGGTCTCATTTAAGGCAGCTGAATGTCACCTGCAAAAATCAGATTTTCTGCTTACCTCTGTCTCAGGCTGGATTGCAGAAGAGCTGAGCACTTGCAGCTGCAGCTGAAAACTAACTGAGGTTATGCTTTCACCAGACAGACTGCTCTCTAGTTCGACAGGCTCGGGAAAATTAGTGCTCACAAAAATTAATGACCCAAATCATGTATTTTGCTTGCTTGTTTGTTTGTTACCACAATCTTTCCATGCCATGCCTGCCTGTGGAGATAAGACAGTCCTGTCATTTTGCAGGGACCAGGTGATGCATTAATATTTAAGAACCACTCGGTTGCTGTAGTGGTAAATGCCATCAGAAACCAGAGGCAGGAAAAAATACTGGACAGCGACTCCCGTCAGGCTTCAGTTTCCACCAACTTGTCCCAGTCTGTCACCACAATCAGCGCAGCTACCTACTAGTTTTGTTCCTCATATCCTTTTCTTTGCCAAGCATCTCTATGTATGTGTGATCTAAAGAAAGCCTTGTTTATAACCTGCCCAAAGCTAAGTCTGTCTGGCAGTGCCCTCTACTCTTTAGCTTACAGTTGGGAGGTCCGACAGATTGATCATTTCAGCTTAGAAGTTGCATGTTTGGATCTCAGATTGCTGCGTCAATTCTGGATGTGTGCTCAGCAGTCACCTCCCATTTTGGTTATGCCTCTGCAGTGTGAGGAGACAGCAGAAGCTCCAAGATAAAGACAGTTTGGCAAAGCAGTCACTCGGGTGCTGCTCCCTTCTGTGTGGTCCAGGACCTGCTTTGGGGCATCCTGTACCAGAACAGACAAATGGATTGTAGATATTCTGCTGTCCTTGCTTTGCCTTTCTTCCCCTTCAGCTGGGATGCCACAGTTCAGAAGTCCTCAGTGGGGACCATGAAGAGACAAGAGTGCATGTGCTTCCATGTTAAGTTTCTCATGCTTGAGAGTTTAAGGTATGGGCATGTACCCTAGAATGGAAATAGGAAAATGCACCATCAAAAACTCCCATTACTGATAAGAATAAACTTTCAGTTACAGCAAGTTTTTTGAAGTGTGTATGATAAACATGGTGTAAGGCAGTTAACTACTTGGCTCAATAGTACCATGTTACCTGCACTGAATGAGGAAGAACTCTATAGAAAAAGTTACATGACTAAATGTAATTTAAGATTGACCATGAAGGTGCAATAGGACAAAATCTTAATTCTGGGATTTCCTAACTTTGGAGCACTTTACTTTCTTCTGTGACTTTTTAAAAATGTTTTGTATGCGATAGTTAATTACACACCATTACAGCTGACCAAGACAGGTTCTGTAGTAAGCTCTGATAATTTATTGCTAGGAGTTCGGTATTTAAACCTGCAAACTGCTGAAACTGCTGAACTGTCACTCAGAGCCATTTGAAAATGGTGGGGGGTGGGGGTGGGGGGGTCACCTTAGCATGTCTGTAGCTTGAAATACGTGATCTGGTGCCATTAAAATTAATAGGGCAATTCAGATACTTCAAGTTGTATTTGTGCCTAAGTATCAGCAATTTACAAGATACTAGAGATGATAAAATTGGAAAGAAGATGCAAGAGATGAAAACCGCCCTGAAATGGCTTGATTCAGGTTGCAATAATACATTTTTTTCTCTTTTTATTGCTCTGTTCCTCTGAGGTGCACTCGCTTTTTCTATTTAACCGCTTGTTAGTTTTTCTTTGTTTGCAGAAGCCTGGAAGAGCAAGAAACAATCCAAAGAAAGGCAGGAGAAGGAGAAAAATAATGTGTTCTTTTATTACAGCAATGTCCAGAGGCCTCACACAGGGTTGTGGCAGCAATGGGCTGCATTCTAGAGCATGTAGCAAAACAGTCTGTGCCCCAAAAAGCTTCTAGGTTAATGTGAAAGGAAATGCAGTATGTATACGTAACTAAAGAGAAAGAAGGTAGGTGTAGGTACCCCAAAGAAGACCAGATGGTTGCACAAATGAGCTGTGTACATAGCTTGATTGCTCTGGCTCTTTTTTTTTTTTTTTTTAATAAATTATTAGTAATAGGTATCAGTGTCTCCCACATCAGTGACAGCTTATTTGCAAGTGAAGAATAAATTAATCAGGAAATAAAGAAGGAACATGGAAACTACAGAGGAAAGGGGGGAGGGATTTTCAGCAAACTGAAGAAGCCAGAACTGCAATAAGATGGGAGACAAAGCAAGGAGCAAAAACTGTTATAAAACTGGTCGTTGAATTTTGATGTATTTATCAGAATGGGATTATTTCTCACTAAGTTCATTGACCTTAAAAGGAAAAAAATACAATAGAGTGGTGTTGGTTGTAAGCCAAAACCAATTTTTTCTGTCTTTCTGACTAGAAAGGTGTTTTCTAAATATAGCCCTGTTTTGTTTTCAGCGTAAGGTTTTGTCATGATGTGCTTCAAAACTCAGGAACAAGTAATATTGTCTAGGAGCTTTTGTGTCTTAGTGTTCACAGCTGGGCCAGATTTTTTGTACAGCAGCTTGGAGCTATGTTCTTGCCTAGGGCACTATAAACTGGAAGGAAAAAGACTTTTCTTGTTGTTTCTGGTTTGTAAGTATAAAGGTAAATATTTAGGCAAATGTCACAGTTGATGCCAATGCTTCTCCAGTAGTAGAAACCCAGAAATTTTTGCCCTCCTTTCTTATCATGGAAGGCAGGTATGCAGATATTTGATCTGCTCTGGGTCAGCACGAGAAGAAATAGGTGGATGAAGCTGGAGAAAGGCTAAGGTAAACCGAATATAAAGGGGACGGCTCTCATTGATAAGGTGTTTCGCATTGGAAAATGATGCACTAGAGGAAATATTTATTTTTCATTTGGTGGAACATTGCACAGCACCCTATGGAAGACTATCTGTAATCCGGAGAGACACACATAAGGGGCTCGTTTTTACTTCATGAAGGAACAAAGTACAGAAAAGTCCAGCCTAGTGCAGACCCAGAGACTAGGCCCAGAGGTACAGCACTGCAAAGCACTGATCCCCCGTGGGTGCATGCAACATAGCTCTGACTAGCCTGGTTGTTGGGGTTGTGTGTCTTGCTGCTTCCCCTTCTGGAGGTAACACAGGGCCAGTTTGAGCACTTTTGCAGTACTGGCTGCATAGACATGTGTGAGGGGACCTTCTCCACCTCTGTGCTGTCATTACAGACCCTCCAGTGATTCTCATTTCTTAATTCTTTCTACACTGAGGTAGCAATAAGCAGATAAACAGTAGGATAGAGTGAACAGATTACTAAACTTGCTAGCAGTTCCTCAAATTTGGATTTGAAAGACCATCTACTCAGTGGATTCTTATGCATTATAGAAACATAATACTTGGTGCCTTCTGCTGTCTGGGAATTGACATCTTTCAGTGACTGGCTGGTACTGGAGCACAGGGCAGATCGGAAGGCTTGAGTGATCTGGACTTAATATTAAAAGCATATAGCTGAACCCAGAATTTAAATTACTGGTTCTTTTTCTTGTCGTCTCTGACCTTTTCCTTAATGTGCTTGTGAAGGTTTGTTTTCTGTTTCTTATCCCCTGGTTTTCAGATGGTGGGCAGGAGAATGGCAGAAATGTTCAACCACGTGTGGCCCAACAGGCCAGAAGAAGCGAACCGTACTTTGCATCCAGACAGTGGGATCTGATGAGCAGGCACTGGCTGCCACAGAGTGCCAGCACCTGCTTAAACCAAAGACCCATCTGTCATGCAACAGAGATGTCTTGTGCCCGTCTGACTGGACAGTGAGCAACTGGACCGAGGTAAATTAATGTCAACTGTAATATTGAACATTTTTTTCAAAATGACCTATTAGAGTCAGCAGAAATGACCAATAATCTGCTTTTTTGCATTTTTTTAAATTTTTTTTGTTAACATGTCTTCACAAATCCTTTGTGCACAGGGGGGAAAAAGCTGCCCTGCTTGCTAAAAAACTCAGCAAGTGTTGCGTGTTAACTGTTTCTAGGGGTTTGGCTTGCTGAGCTTTTGGGACTGTAGAACAGAGCGTGCTTGCATGCTAAAAAGACTGTGTAATACTCATTACTGCTGTGGACCAGATGGCGGGAGGCTCTGTGTCATGTCTGCAGGCCTACAAAGAAGCATTTTTACATTCTTTACATTAGTTTCTGTTCATTCATAACTCTCCTGTTTTTGCCACAGCATGCAAGCTTTTTACTTCTAGGCTTAATCTGAAGCCCTAACAAACATTAGAATACCTGTGTATCATTCAAGAGTTAATTAAATATTATACAGTTATTTCACTGGCAGCTGATGAACTGCAGAATGTGAGGTGAACAAAATTATGACTGCAACATACAATATTTGTTTAAATATACTGCAACATATTCTGCAATGTTTGTTAGTATTAGTAGGGAGTGCTCATTTGATGTGCTTTGTCATAGGTTATCTTAGCTTTATTTAGATTAGGATGCTGGTATCTACAGGTGTTTCACAACTTCACTTTCTATTGAAGGCAAGGAGAGTTCAGGATCCCCAAAATGTGGAACAGTCTACTTCTCCATGAAAACTAAAAATGCACTAAGAAGCTTCTTCTGGAGTGGGGAGAAGTAGGTTTTGAGTAACGTGACATTTTAGAGCTGTTTTATTCTGATTCTGTTGCAGTACAACTTGCTTATGGTTCACCTCACAAATAGGCAGTTTAGCTATACGTGTAGCTGACAACTGTGACAAAAAATGCACAAATATTTTCCATTTCAGATGTGTCGTGGTTTCAGCCTAGCCAGTAACAAAGCACCACGCAGCCGCTCGCTCATTCCCCCCCCCCCCCCCCCCCCCCCCGGCCACAGTGGGATGAGGAGAAAATATAAAGGCAGGCTGGTGGGTTGAGATAAGGACTGGGAGGGATCACTCAACACTTACGGTCATGGGCAAAAGACAGGCTCAACTTGGGGAAGAAACAAATTTAATTTACTACCAATCAAATCAAAACAAGGATATTAAGAAGTAAAACCAAACCTTGGAACACCGTCCCCCCACCCCTCCCTCCTTCCCGCCTCAGCTCCACTCCCGGTTCTCTCCACCTCCTCCCCCCGGCGCCGCAGGGGAACAGGGGTTGGGGTCAGCTCCCCACACCTTGTCTCTGCCGCTCCTTCCTCCTCGGGGGAGGGACTCCTCACTCGGCCCCGGCTCCACCATGGGGTCCCCCCCACAGGAGACAGCCCTTCACGAACTTCTCCAGCCTGGGTCCTTTCCATGGCCCGATCTTCAGTCACACACTGCTCCAGCGCGGGCTTTCCAATGGAGTCGCGGCCATCTTGGGGGGCCTCCACTCCCCCGCTCCCCTCCATGGGCTGGGGGCGGACAGCCTGCCGCCTCACCACGGGCTGCGGGGGCATCCCCTCCTCCCACGCTCCTCCTCCCCTCCCTCCTCACTGACCTCGGTATCTGCACAGGGCTTTCTCTCACATTCCAATCCCCTACTCACTGCAGGCTCTACTTAAATCTGTTCTCCCCGAGGCGCTACCAGCATCGCTGACGCGGGGCCAGAGGCAGGTCTGACTTGGAGCTGGGGATGCTTCAAGCAGCTTCTCACAGGAGCCACCCCTGCAGCCCCTCGCCCGCTACCAAAAAAAAACCCATGCCACACAAACCCATAACAAGGTTTCAATAAAAAGAAATTTACTAAGTTTTTCAAAAATTCCAAGACCAATGATCTGGATGCAGGAGTTGGACGTAGTGTTAGCAAGTTTGCTGATGATACCACACTGGGAGGTGCTGGTGACTCTCTTGAGGGACAGGAGGCCTTGCAGAGGGATCGAGATAGATCTGAACACTGGGCAATGATCAATGGGATGAAATTTAACAAGTCCAAATGCCAGATTCTGCACCTAGGATGGAGTAATGCCAGGCACAAGGATAGACTGGGAGACGACTGCCTGGAGAGAAGCCCTGCAGAAAGGGATCTGGGGGTGCTGGTCGACAGCAGGCTCGATGCGAGTCAGCAGTGTGCCCTGGCAGCCCAGAGGGCAAACCCCATCCTGGGGTGCATCAAACACGGTATCACCAGCCGGCCAAAAGAGGTGATTATCCTGCTGTATTCAGCATTGGTGTGGCCTCACCTTGAGTGATGTGTGCAGTTCTGGGCCCCACAATTTCAGAAGGATGTGAATGTCCTCAAGTGCGTCCAGAGAAGGACAACAAGGCTGGTGAGAGGGCTGGAAGGAATGTCCTGTAAGGAGCAGCTGAGGACTTTGGGTTCATCTAGTCTGGAGAAAAGGAGGCTGAGGGGTGACCTCGTTGCTCCCTGCAGCTTCCTGAGGAGAGGGAGGTGCTGAGCTCTTCTCCCTGGGATCCAGTGACGGGATGCGTGAGAGTGGTTCAAAGCTGTGCCGGGGAGGAGGGGACGTTCAGACTGGACATGAGGAAGCATTTCTTTACCGAGAGGGTGGTCAAGCGCTGGAACAGGCTTCCTAGAGAGGTGGTTGATGCCCCAGGCCTGTCAGTGTTTCAGAGGCATTTGGACAATGCCCCTAATAACATGCTTTAACTTTTGGTCAGTCCTGAATTGGTCAAGCAGTTGGGCTAGGCGATCATTGTAGGTCCTTTCCAATTGAAAATACTCTATTCTATTCTGTTCTGTTCTGTTTTGTTTCCTGTTTGAAAACTCCTCTCCCCTGTTTCTCCTGACTCTTTTTACCAAACTCGTTATTGTGTTTGAGAGCAGATTCAGATAATGAACTAATAGGATTTTGTGACAGTATTAATTCAGCTTATGCTGCTCACAAACCATCATCACTGAATTTGATTGTTTTGTGAATTGAGTAGCCACCATGTTTTAACTGCCTGTGAAAAAATGGACTGGGATTCTATGGCTAGCAGTATGATTATATAGAAATGGCATGCTGTTACAGAATACAGCTGGTACTCATGTGTCATTGGATTATATTTGCAATTTACTGACAAAAATAAATTTCTACACCTGTAGAAATTGGGGAGGGAGCGTAGGACAGACTGTTTCACCAGCAGAAATGATAGGATTGTCAGGAGACTTGTAACTGCAGAATGTTCTTTATTGTATGTTCTTTATTGTATTGAATGTAACAGAGAGATTTTACACAGGCAAAACTTCCTTTTCCTCTGAACTTAACGGACTGTTAGAAAATCATTCTGTACCTTATAAACTGAACGTACTTAATTAGGCAGATAATGAGGATAGAATGTTGTAGGCATTCTGAAATCTCTTTTTAGAACATGGCTGTAATCTAAAGCAGAGATTTTCAAAGCTAATTCTGGGATACAGCCATTACCCCAAAAAGTTAATGAGGTTGGATAGTCCTTTTAACTCACACAAATGCTAATCTAAATCATCCAAGTGGCAAAGTGTGTTGTATTCCTGTGTAAGCAGCAACAAGCAAATTCCTTTACTGAATAACTTCAAAGGTCAAATTGCAGCTGATGTAAACTTGCATAGCACTGAGTACTTTAAATGTGCTATACAGCTGGAAGTGCAAGGACAGACATAATAGCTAATGAACTTATTTACTCTGAGGTTACTCTGCTTTCTTCCCTGCTCCTGTTGCTGCAGAGCTGATGTTATTTTACAGGTGTTAACATCAGAGAGCACACAAGTAACACAAGGTCACTGGTGTTTCTATTGCCGCATGACCTAGACTAGCTCTAAAAAAGGTTAGATACCCCAGGGGCTTTAAAGTGCTGGCAATAGGAGTGATCGCCACTTCATGTTGAGCAGCTGGCTTAAGCCTGCTGAATTAGCTGGTCAGGCTCCCTCACATCATAGGAAGACTTCCTCCACTAGGTTGTATGTAACATCTTCATTCATACTCAACCAGTCATCCAGCCTTAGTATGTCAAACCACAGAAGTCTGTTGAAATTTCAGAAAATCCTCAGTGGTGCAACAGCTGCTGAAGGCATGGCTGTGCCTGTGAGGATGAAAAACATTACAGAAAAACTGGGTCTCCTTAGCTTCCATCGCCCTTTATACACAACAGTGCTTCCATTTAAATAGAAGCCAGATAGGTTAATTACTTTCAGTGGTCTGTAATTTAGGAGAGACATGCTAGCAGCCCTGGCAGCATGTGGTAGTTGTACTAAGACTGCATGAAAAATCCATTTCATAAAGTCAACAAGGATCTGTGAGCTGCATGGATGATCACAGCAGGTTTGTGGCACTGTGAGTAGCTAGCACTGAGCCAGTCAGGTATGTTTTTGATGGCAGGGGTTTAGTCTAGTTTTTATAACCCTGGTGGAAAAGGTATTGGCTAAACAACTTCTGTGATTCACTGAAGAAATCAAATTCTAACATATTACTTTCATATTTTGTCTTTATTGTGTAGTCCTTTTTCACTGCTGTTTCCCCAAGGTGACATTTACTGTTTTAAAAATTTGGAAAGAGCTCCTTGATAGCAGAACATCACTAGAATGAAGGGCTTGTTCCTCAGGAAAAGCTCTGTTATTGATGATTTATAATGATGCTTCTTTATTATAAACAGATGCCATTTGATACTTACTTTTATTGATATGTGCAGCAGAATGAAGAGGGGAGATACATTAATTCTGTTTCATTTGCAGTGCACTGTTACTTGTGGTGGTGGAATAAGGACTCGTAATGTCACTTGTGCCAAAAATAATGATGAGCCATGTGATACTTCCAAGAGACCAAACTCTAAGGCCCTGTGTAGTCTCCAGCAATGTCCTTCTGCTGGAAGATTTCTGATACCCCCACTGGCACCCAGAAGAGGAAAGATCATAATTAGAAAAACAACTACTAATCCCAAATGGAGTCCTCCTCGCAGAATACCGACACCAACCCCGAGGTCCCATACAACAGCAAAAGTACCCAAGCCTGAAAGTGTAACTCCCCATTTACCTACGTCCTCTGGTTTGGGTAATGTCTCAGAAAAAGAAGGAACAGCGAACAGAACATTACAAAATAATTTTGCTGGACCAAGTGATGTTTACAGTTACCCTGCTGGTTCTACTGAAAGTACTTCACACCAAAATACTACTTCATGGCCTTTTCATAATAGCTTAAGTACTGAAATCATAAGGCATGCTGAAAGTATTTCTGAAAGTGAGCCAGTTTCTACTTTAGAGAGTGAGGTGCAAAGTGAGGGCACTTCGGTCTCCCCTTTTACCAGTAATCCAGAAATAACTTCCAGCTATGATTACTTAACTGAAGATTCTGATGACATTGATGGGTCACTTGGAGGCAGTGAGAAACCGCTTGATCTCCTTTACAGCACAGAACTCAATCCTGAAATCAGAACCAGGAGCACAACCCTAGATACTGGCTCTCCTGTCCTTCAAAATGAGAGCATGACTTCTCAGCCCTCCCCAGCATCTCATCACCAAGACACTTCTATGCTCCTTCCTGTTAGCACAGCAGCACAAGGGTTGGCATTTCCCACAACAGCAAACTATATCAGTCTGCAAGTTGATGTGCCTGTTGTAGAAGTAACTACCCCACAAGCATCGGTTACAGTAATGCCCACAGTGTTTGGTCACATACCAAGAGACCAGATTGACAACAGAAGAGAAATTAAGCTACCTGACACTGTAACCACCAGCACACTATTGTCAGCTCTTGAGCATGCTCTCAGGAACCAAAGTGCAACATCTGAGGGTGTTTTAACAAATGTCACAGAAAACAGCCAGCTAATAACATCCAACAATTTGCCTGGTGATGCCTACTGGATAGTAGGCAACTGGAGTGAGGTAAGTTATTTTTAACTGATAAGAAGTGGAGAGTGTGAACAGCTGTTTGAACCATTGTGGAGGAAATAAATCTTCTTAGTTTGTCATGATTGTCTGAAATGAATATCACACATTCAAGTGAAATACTTGTCATACAAAAAAAGAGCTAACTTGGAATATCTGTTAGATTGCTTACATAGAATGTGTCTGTATTTCTGGATTCTGTAAAACTGTTCCTAACTGGACACTGAAATTTTAAGGAATCAGCTGTATCAACTGAATATTCACAAGTCCATGGGGTCTGATGGGATTCATGTACTGATGGGATTCGTGAGTACTGAAGGAGCTAGTGGACGTTATGGCAGGACCTCTCTCGATCACCTACCAAAGGTCTTGGGAGTCTGGGGAGGTCCCTGCTGACTGGAAGTTAGCCAATGTTATTCCAATGTACAAAAAGGGTGTGAGGGGAGACCCAGGGAGCTACAGACCTGTTAGTTGAACCTCAGTTCCTGGAAAAATTATGGAGGAGATCATATTGGGTAATCTTAAAAGGCATTTGAAGAACAATGCAATCATCAGGGTTCAGTTCTAGGGCTGGTTCTGTTCAAGGTATTTATCAATGATCTGGATGCAGGAGTTGAACGCAGTATTAGCAAGTTTGCTGATGATACCACACTGGGAGGTGCTGATGACTCTCTTGAGGGACAAGAGGCCTTGCAGAGGCTGAGGGGTGACCTCATTGCTCTCTACAGCCTCCTGAGGAAGAGAAGTGGAGAGGGAGGTGCTGAGCTCTTCTCCCTGGGATCCAGTAGCAGGATGTGTGGGAATGGTTCAAATCTGTGCCAGGGGAGATGTAGACTGGACATGGGGAAGCATTTCTTTACTGAGAGGGTGGTCAAGCACCGGAAGAGGCTTCCTAGAGAGGTGGTCGATGCCCCAGGCCTGTCAGTGTTAAAGAGGCATTTGGACAATGCCCTTAATAACATGCTTTAACTTTTGGTCAGCCCTGAATTGGTCAAGCAGTTGGGCTAGGCGATCATTGTAGGTCCCTTCCAATTGAAAATACTCTATTCTATTCTGTTCTGTTCTGTAACTCTTCCAAGGACATGACATTCAGGTTTGACTGTAACCAGAAATACCTCAAGGGTTTTGTTTTAGAGCACAGCAAAAAGTTAAGCTATTAGATTAATCCTGGAGAAACAAATGAATATGCTTTTATTTCCAAATAAGTACATAACACATGTTAGCAGTAGATGTGCTGTTATGTTCTAACCTTTGCTTACGTATCATTTCTCTCTAAATTATGTGTGTTCTCTAACTTAGTACGTGACCAGGGTCATGTAGGTAAGCTAACTTTATTTCTCCATAAAGCACATTAATACCGTGGATACTTAAACATATATTTAGTTAGCTATTAACATAACAGATTTTTCTGATGCGTTTCTATCTCATCCCACCATCAACATTTGTATCCACCATTAAGCAAATGCCTCTGAACTCAGAGCAGCATCCAGCCTGGTAAAACCAGTTTGAATCTACAAAGCAAAGATAAGAATATTAGCCCAAAGTTAAATTGGTGTATCTGGGGTTCATTATTTGTCCAGCACATGCCCATAGGGAGACACTGTAATATGGAGTTCTGCACCTTTGTCTGAAGCTGAGGTGATTGTATATTGGAACTGGGTTGTAGCAGTGGTAAACTAAAAGCATTTTGTCTGGCTGGCATAGAAATTAAAATCATCAGGCCAGTGGTTGTGGTTGTACAGTATTCTTTGGATACAGCAGCTGATAATTACAGTGTTATACTATGTCTTGTTTAAAAGTAGAAATGAACAGTTATTTTGTCTGCATTAATGGCTGTGCCAAAATGAACTTTTTAATCTCCAAAGGTAATGAAATTCAGCCAGAACAGATGTTAAAATCTTGTAATATCCACTTTCAAAGTGCTGTCTTTCTGTTTGAATAAATGAAACAAGTACAACTTACAGGGCGTTTGAAAACTCTTTTGAGGTCTAAAGCATTTGGAAGATTCTTGATCTGAAAGGTGATTACTTGTCCCAGTTTCCCCTTATCCTTGGTCATTACTGAATGGTTATAATACTTGGGTAACTTCTGCCTTCTGTGCAGGAGCAATATAGACTGCAAAGTTTTCTATGGCCTCAGAGAAGTGCCTGCTATTTTCTGTGTATTGCTATTGACTTTCCTTTACAAATACCCATCACCAGGCTTTTTGACAGTTAGGTTTCTGTGCTGTTACCTTGCTGTGTCCTGAGACAGTAGTTGTTGTAAGGTCAGGGCTGATGAGGGGGCAGCCACCCAATTCTGCAACTATAATAAGAGAATATAGTCATTAGGGAGCCTACTCACATTTTACAAACTTCTATTTGATATGCTTCCCACTGTAAAATTTTATTTTTATTTAAACAGAATTCTTTTTATGCTAATGGATTTTATATTCTTCAAATCATGATACCTAAAGTGAGAGACTTTGGTATCTGAACAAGTTACCTCATTTTTCTGATGGCCTTTTTTAACCAAGCTAATCAGTACAGCCAAAGTTCCAGATCTGGAAACCTCCTTGCACTGATCAGCCTCTGTGTCTTAGTATTGATGCAGAAGGCTATCAAAGGTCTGTTTCTCTGTACCTGTTTGCTCTTGGGTCTGCCTGGAATGACGCAAATTAATGGAAATGCATAAATGCAGCGCTAAAAAGGACAGCAAGAGATGATTAGTGTATCCCATGGCAGTGGCGGCACAGCTAGACCACCGAGATCATGTTGGTGCCTTCTGTCTGGATGCAGCCAGTAGGTAAGACCCCTCCTCTGTCACCACCAGCAGTCGTTCAGGACATGCACTTCTGATGGCAGTCTGAAGTTTCATCTTGTGCCTTCCCATGGCCAGGTGAGAATGGCTTTAGCTTCCCCATGCTCAGGTGGGACAAGTGAAGCACTTCCTCCTGCACACACCCAAAGACCTGCATTTAGGTCTGCTTGGGTGAAGAGCCTACAGGATAAAGTCCAGGCAAAGGTGCTCCTAAGCCCAGCACATCCCAAACAGAAGTCTATAATACAGAAATGCTACAGTCTGTCCTAGTCATTCATTACCCCCATTAGGAATATTTTCCTTATACATAACCAACATCTTCTGTCCTGAAAATGAAGATTCTATTTTTTATATGCAGACTGTGGAAGATAATTGTCTTCTTAATAACTGGGTTTGGGTCTGATTTCTAAACAATCTTTTCAGATTTTCCTTATGTTTTCTAAATATCTGGTGACTTTGTTGTTCTCTGAACTTGCTTCAGTTTCATCATGTATTTCTTCATCAGTGATGTTCATTATGGCCCCAGCTGACACCTGGCAAATAAAATGGAATAATTGCTATCATTTCATATATGACCCTCTTCGTGAATGTTGAGATGACATTTGTCTTGTTTTGTAACGGTCCCACTTTGATTTATTCAATTCGTGGTCCATTGTAAACCCTGGATCCCTTAATACGGTATTTCTAGATCAGCAGATGTTCTCAGTTTTGTTTGGGGAGTATGCGTGTGTACATATGCGTGCATGTGTATATATATGTATGCATGTATAAAAAGTTCTCCCTAATTGTAGTATTTTGCATATGTTTTTGAATTTCAGGTTACTGTTTTCTTACGATTTTAACTTGGTGAGATGTTTTTGAATTCAGATTGTGTCCTCCAACGTTCCCGTCAACTCTCCCAACTTGGCATCAATTGCAAATTTTTTAAGTGCATGCTGTCTTTCATCATTCAATTAGTTAATGAAAAACTGACGAGAGCTTGGCTCTGGACAGAGCCCTGCAGGACAATACTTGAAATGTCTTTTCATTTTGACACTGAATCACTGAGGACCACTTTATTAGTGTTTTTCAGTTAACTGTGCCCCAATCTTGTAATTATTTCACGTAGAGCATATTTCCATCATTTGCTAAAAGAATGCTCTATGTGATCATGTCAAAATGCATCATATCAGCTGGCTGTCTATTTTCATTAAGCCGGGTACTCCTGTCAGAGAAGGATATTAGATTAAATTGAATAATTTGTTCTATGCTTTATCATCTTTGTTAGTATTTACCATTTTGATCTTGATTGTTTTATAATTTGCTTTATATCTTCTTGTGAAGTAAAGTTAGGTTCCATTAGGCCATGGATCTGGCTTTTTCTTTTCCTAAAGATAACTTGAAAGATGTTCTTCTCTAATCCTCTGGGACTTTTCCAATCTCTTTTAAAAAATAATTCTCAACAGTTCAAAGATTATGCAACACTTGAATGAATATTGAGGTAAGGTCAATACATTTGGTTTCACAACTGATGAAATCAATTTGAGAATACTTGATGCATGTAACTTTGCTATTCTTTAATGTTTTAGTAATCTTTTGCTATTCTTGTTCAAGCTATTGTTTCTTGTTAAAATTAACTTTATGTGAAGCCTGGCACATTAAAATCTTTTATTTTTTCAAGTTTGAAGAAGAGAAGGTGGTGAAAAAGAGAATTTGTGGAATCTCTGTCCTTGGAGATACTCTGAAGCCATGTGGACATAGTCCTGGGCAGCTGGGTCTAGTTGGCCCTGCTTTAGCCAGGCAGTTGGACAAGATCACATCCAAAGGTCCTTTACAACCTCAACCATTCTGTGATTCTGTAAATACACCAGCTATTATCTTTCTCATTAAATAAAAGTTTTATATTTTCCCCACACACCATGATTCTAACATTCACAGAACCTTTCTTACTGTTCGTTACTTTTAATTCACTTTTAGTCTACAATTTTCTGACTTCATTTTTGCTCTTCCTATTTACTAGTAAATAGTAAAACTTAGTAAAACTTTCTGCCTGTTTTTAGATGTCATCTCTCCAAGGCATTGATATTTCAAGACTGCCGCATCTACCTATGTGAATCTCTTGCCATGCTCTCTATCTTTCTCTTTTAGTAACTGTCAATATTCTGATGTTTCTTTGCTCCTTAGCATATATCTATACTAGTAAATAAATAGTGCCCAAGAATAGTGATAGTCACTGAGATGGAAGGGTGTGACATGTCCCACAGCAGTGTTGGCACTTACCTCCCAAGGGAGAACACTAATGACAGTAGGGCAGAACAGTGCCCCACAACACCAGTGCTCTTGTCTGTAACTTTTAACTTCTTTCCTACTACTTTCCCAGGTCATTCTGGGCTGTCATTTTTCCCTTTCTACAAGCTTTCTGGGTACCAAAGATACCCCATTACCACCCGATCTGCTCATTCTGCACCTCTGCTATTGGTCATTAAAAGTCACCTGCACTTCTTCCCTCTGTAATAGACATCTACTGTGACTAGTTCCTGAATGACAAAAGGGAAAAGCAGTAAGTCTTCCTGAACTTCAGAGCAATCAGTCTCCTTTACGTAACATGAAACAATGGTCAAGAAAGCTCAAGATTTCTCCCAGTACTATTTGCAGCATCACACTTTTCTCTCTTGGCTCTGTACCTGCAGACAGCAATTTTTGAAATAATCCTGCTGCGTTTCACCTCCCTCGGACAAGAACATAAAGCTTTGTAAGTGTGATCTGCCTTGCATCATCCCTGGAGCTATTTTTGGTCTTCTCATGAATGCTCAGAGTGGGGCTTTGGTCAAACACTAAGCAGTCCTTAAATAAAGTCTTGGTGTTGTCAGACTGGTATAGCAGGGGTGGGGGGAGCCACCAAACAGCAACCAAGACAAGGACAGTCCATCCTCTTGAACAGACAAATTGTCTTGGATAGATAGAAGACCATGCAAAACTGAAGAGTGCTATGCAGTCCCCTTTAACAGGATCTTTGTGGCCTCTTGGACAGATGTCCCAGGAATCTCAGAAGCTGGAGATGGCATGCTGCAGAAGCCTTGCAGATTCACACTCTTCATAATGTGCAGTTTTTCCAAAATTTTTTGTTGTGACCATTAACCATTTTTCCATTTCTTTAATTGAGTCTTCTAACAGCTCCATGTCTTCAGTGTTGGTTTTTTTCCCTGCCTTAGCTTCAGCATTGCTTTCCTTATCTTTCCAAGGACACTTACTCAGCTTTCCTTACTTAACTCTCCCACTTCCATGTAGGGAGTTCAAACCACATAATAGTTGCTATCTTCATCATTTTGCAGACTTAATTCAAGATTATTTATGTTGTTTCTCCTGCCAGCTACAGGCTGCTTGGCATGTGTTGGATTTGACTCTGTGTATAGTTCACTGTCCCTCCCTTTTTAAGGGAGAAAAAGGTAAATGGGTGTCTCCAGCCACTTTTCACCCCTTCCTGCTTCAGAATACAATGATAGTGACTTTTTTTGTGAAGAGTGTGCACTCTAGGGATCTGGACTGGCATGATCAATATTCCCTTACCTCAGACACTAAAACCCTCCCAAATGTTGGAAACACTTAGCCATTCTCTGAATTCATCATTTTAAAAATCCTTTTCCAGCACAGTTTTTCCAAGTCTCGCACAATTTATTTCAGATTTGCAGCATCATGCACGCAATTTGCTGAATATCTCTTCAGCAGTATTAGGGATAGAGAGAGAACAGTGCTGAAGATTGGATGCAATGACATTTTGCACTGGATCCCCAAAACCAACAGAAGGAAACACTGGAACACCTGGTACAGATTTAGGATATCTCAGTAAGCAGGAGTTGGCCAAAGAAGAGCAGTGCATAGTATAAATCAGAATTGGTATTTCCCTAACAAAGCAACAAAAAGCCCTCCTTCAGAACCTTAAGTAATACTTAGGTGAATTTGAAATCTTTTGAGTAACTTAGATAACCTAGGTCATCTAAAATGGCTCTAGATACTTATATTTAGGTTCCTGGATTGTTTCCAGATTATTTATTAACACTGAGTTTGCCCCTGGGCTTTCCTCTCACCCTTGTGCAGTGCTCTACCACCTGTGGAATGGGGGCTTTCTGGAGGCACGTGGAGTGCAGCAGCAGGAACATATCTCACTGTCAGCACACAAAAAAGCCTGATCCTGCAAGAAAATGTTATCTCCGCCCATGCGCTACCTGGAAAACAGGAAATTGGAGCAAGGTAACTTCATTCAGAGCTGTGTGTGAACAGTAAGCTTGCTAACTTCAAAGAATAGGGAGTTCTAAATACTTCATTTTTAAAATAATTACTTACTCAGTGAATGCATACATGACTCCCAGTTGACCATTCAGCACTAATTTACTAATTTCCTGACTAAGTTATTTTTGGAAAAGCCTCTGCTGTGAGTTCTGTTCTTCCTGTGTGGGGGTCGTGCTCATTAACTCTTGCATCTAGAGCTCACTGTCATGCAGGGCTCACTGTCCATGTTCTGTGGATATCCCAGGGCAAAGCTGCACATACTTGCATGTGGTATCTTTTTGGTCTCTGCTTCCAGAGCCATATCCTAATTTTAAGAAGCAAGTGGGAATTCGGAGAAGGAGTTGGCATGTTCCTGTTCACCCTTGCCACTCTGTATGATCTCTTACGTAACGTGGTCTGAACCTCATTTATGTAACCTCTAAGTTTTACATTACAAAAACTAAAGGCAAATGTGTTGGGGAGAATGCCTGCTATGGCTAGGGTCTTACTTGGTCCTAGTTAAGTACACAGGCCTGGTCAAGAGACAGAATAGTGTCCAAGGTGGTAAGTGGAACCCAATGGATTGCATTTGAGTTCTTTTTTGGTATTGTAAGATGTGTGATGAAGACCTGAAAGGACTTCAGTGACTTCTTGAAGCTTGTTACTTTTTGTCTTCACACTGTCTAAAATTGGGGCTTCAAACAATGGGTTATTTTTCAAGACTCAAAAGGGAAACTACAAAATTCTATTTGAAACAATGTTGATTTAATAAAGAAAAAGATTGATCTCTCAAACTTTCTCAATACATATAATTTTTGCAGATGATGTTGTTGCCATTGGACTAGAGGGCAAATTCATACAAAGAAAAGGTTATAGTTACAAAACCTGTGTTAAATTATTGAGCTCTTTGACATAGAATTGATTTGTACGTGAAATACATGCCTGTTTAGAAAGTCCAGGAAAGGCCAAGGCATTACATAACCACATTTAAGCCTTTGAAATTCATTTTAAATGATACATAGACATTCTGCAGTTGCAGTTGGGCATATTTCACCTTCACTTTTTCTTCATAAATGTTACTGCTCCTGCAACAAGTGGATGATAGTTTACTCTCATCTAATTCTGCCCCTCCCCTAAAAGAAAGGTGCTTCAGACTAGATCTTACAGTCTGAGTTTAATACCAAACATAATTTGCATGTATTTTGGGGCTGTGTATACTCAGTTTCTTGCACAGTCACTTCTGTCCATTGTTTCTATCCAGAGGGACAGAAACTTCTGTGAACAAGCGTATGGACTCCCCTTCCATCCATCCTTCAGCTCCCAGGGGAAATATTATATTCAGGTTCCTTGTTCAACTGAAGAATGCTTATTTATGCAAAGGAGAACAGCATCAGTTGTTACATTGCCTGATGGCGGTAAAGATGAAAGCTGACCTGCTTATTCAGGTGTAGGCAGAATTGGCTTTAATTCTGGATGAAGACAAAATAAATAAATGTATATTTGTCCTTATCCTTGAGGTAGCAAATTCAGTTCTTCCTCAGCAGCAGGACAGGTCTTGGGCTTTGATATGTCAGGACATAACCTGGTGCTGCTGCATGAGGCCTTGGAGCAAGCTCTGGGGAGAAATAGGAGGCTGGAAGGGCTTGCTGGGCTCACTTGGCTTGCCAGTAGAGCTCTAAGCTGAGAAGCGATTTCACGGGCTGTGAGTGAGGCTCAGGGTGTCTCTGTCTTCTCTCCCACCCCCTCACGCCCAGGCTGCTCTTGGGGTATGGACCTCCTGGTGCCTCTTGGGGTATGCTCCTCCGCCTGAAGGAGCAAGGAGGTGAGGGTGGGAACTGCTGCTGTGGGATGAGTCCACTGTCTCCCAGTGGTATCAGGAGCAACTCAAGTCTATAGGCTAAAATGAGGAGCAGTTTTGCCAGCCTGAGCAATCTGCTACCATGTACACCTACCTCTTCTATGGCTGAATGAGAAATCAACTCATGCAGCTCTGCCTCTTTCATGCCTGCTGCCCTCCCTCCAAAACAACTGAAGAACCAACAATTTCCCTGCATACAGGATTCATTTTTTTATTTATTGCATTATGACTGTTTCACTATGACATTTTTGGAAGTAGCTGGCAAGATTTCCTAATTAAATATTCATCCATGTTATTAGTGGATATTCCAGTGAAGAAAGGGAAGTATTTATATGGGGTGTTCCAATTTGCTATGATGAAAACCACAGTTTTTAAACCTAAAACCAGATTGCTGTTATGGTAAACTGGAAATTCCCTCTGTGATTTGGGATGCTCAAAGCTCAGGCTGTCCTCCTCCTCTGTGACTGGGGAAGGGACAGCCCCTCAGCGGAGCATCATTTAGAGATGTGTCCCTTTCTGTTTTGTGTACAGTGCTCTGCTAACTGCAACGGTGGTTTCAAGACCCGAGATGTTCACTGCATTGATGTTCGTGAAAAGCGACTTCTCAGGCCTTTTCATTGTCAATTACTCGGCTATAGACCACAACTCAACACCACTTGTAACATGGAGCCTTGCTTGCAGTGGCATGTGAAGCCCTGGAATGAGGTATTGTTCTTTAAAAGACGCTTTGGGAATGAACAATTAGCTGTCAATTAACAGTGACTGTTAGATCCTATGCTGTTAGGTAAACTTTCACTCAAAGGAAGACACACAGCTAATACCACTCAGAGGCTCTGCAGTCCTTGTGTATGGTTACAATAAAAATTATCATAGACGTTTGTAAGACTTCCCAGAACCATTCTTAGGATTGCATGTGATACACAGCTAGATCTGTAAATTACCATACCCTGAAAGAGAGAAGCAGATGGCCTGGAAGAAGATTTGTTTTAGCTATCCTACTCAATCAGTAAATCTGATTCATTCAGACTGATCCCTTTTGCTGCCATTTTAATGTTGCTTTCTCATTATGATTAATTTAGAATTTTCCTTTACACTTTTGGGCTGGAATTTTATGGGGCTAGAAGCTGCGGTCAGACTTAAGATAAATGTGACTGTTGGGTCACTTTGTAATACAAATCTGTGCCAACAAACTCATAGGCAGCCAGGCACATATTTATGTCAGCTAAAGCATGTGGTCTCATTACACTTTAGTTTTTACTCCCACCAAAAGCAGCTTTGGAGGAAGCGCCACAATGTTTGCGGCACTGTGGACCTGCTTTTGGATTTCAAGGGCGGTGATCTCATTGCTTCCTTACAGGCCACTGACAAATCACACCTGCAATAAGGAGCAGACCAGGATGTGGGTTTCCTGTTAGAGCAGTCAGCAAGGGTTGAAAAAATAAGAATAGCCAAATTATTGCACCTGTTTGCCACTTAAAGTATTTTATAAAAACACTTGTCCAACCCTGGCAGTTGTCCTCATATTAAGAATAGTGGATAGAATTGGATTGAAAAGGTTGATTTATCAGATGTCAGCTCTGGTCCTCTGTCCATAGGGATGCAATTTCCTGTAGGACAGGAACAATGCATTATTCAAAATATATCTGGTGCCTTATTTCATGTCAGAGTTATGTCAGAGTATGAAACTTTGTGTATTTCAAGCAGGCTCTACTGCAGACCTAGTGAATAATAATAAAAAGTCAGTTGGTAAGTAATATTAGAAGGTGGACAAAAGAATGTTTAAAAAATAACCTTGGTTACTGTCTTTTTATGATGCTTTTATTGCCAAATAGTTAATTTATTGTATGGATTGGGTGAATTTTAGTGTCCCCAACTGCCTCATAAAACTAAGATGCTGCATGTCATGAACTTATACTGTCTTCAGTAAACATTACAGATTAATCCTGCAGACATGTGACTTCCAATCTCATTCCTGTTAGAAAAGTTACTGTTGCTGGTGGTACTGCATGAGCAGTTCTGTGTTGTCTGTTCTATGTCACCACTTCCATGGTGTCCTATATTTGTTGCATTAATACAGCTTTCCCCCAAGCATTTTGGACCAGTAGTGGCTTCCTCCCTGTCTCTGCCCAAGCATATGATGAAATAAATGTCTCAGTGCAGAGTTTTTCATACCTGGACTGTAAGACTTGGTATGTAGACTAGCCTGTGCATCTTTCTAAATCACATGGTCAGTGACGTGCTTCTTGTTAACCTGTGGCTCTACATTTCTAAATGAAGAACATTTCTTACTGTCTTTATGGTCTGTTTCTGGGTTCTCATCCATTCCGACCTCTCTCCTCATGGCTTTGTGCACCTCTTTTGTTAGTGTTCGAGAACATGTGGTGGTGGCCAGCAAAAGCGACATATCTACTGCCCAGAAGGTGGCTACTGTGACTGGACAAAAAGACCTAATGCTATTGCATCATGTAACAGGCAACCTTGTACGCAGTGGATTAACCAGGCATGGGGCCCAGTAGGATTCAGTTCTTTTTTGTTTTATTTGTTGTCATGAGTTGGCCATATTTGGTCATATTATCCACTAGTCAGTGCCTATAGCAAGTATAGTTTCTTATGCACAGTTGGAGCTACAATGGGAGATCTTTTGAAAATATTACTAAACATTTCAGAGCCAGCCCGTCTCAGTTCCTTCAGTTGATAGACACTGTAGCTTTTAGTTTCTGTTGCTGCATTAGATGTTGTTGGAGGACGGGGGTTTTCTTCCTTTTCAAATGAAAAAGGAGATACCATTGATATTATTCCATTACTCATTTGAAATTTTCCACTGTTCAAGACTGTTGGGGTGGGATGACCCTTAAAGCAACTTGTGGAATATTGGACTTTACACACACGAACAGTAATTCTGAATTTTGACCAATAGCCTTCTACTTTGGCATCTTGAAGTCTAATTGACAAATATGAGGTTTATGTTTGGGGGACCTTCCAGTATCTGCAATACATGTTTAGCAGTGAAGAAACTGGTAGATCTAATAAACCTTTCCATCCAGTTTCCTTAATAAACCTATTCATACATTACAAATCCTTCTCACAGCAGAAGAGAACATTGAAAGAACACCAAAAGCCAGGCACCACAAATAAGGAAACAATGGAGAGTCATTTAACACAGAAAATTTAGTAAGTTGTTTTTGACACAAAGCCGTTAGAGGAGATATGAGTATAAGGTAATGTAGAGTTAGTGTAACTCTAACACTTAAACATGGAAGTGAAAATGTTGGGACATGCATAAAATAAGCAACTGAATACCAAAATGTATGGCAACTATTCCACTGACTTATTAATCCCATTTATTTAACTTCATAAAAAACCTACTTTAAACATTAATCTAAAGTTGTAGCAAGACTACCTAAGACCTTTTAATGTACTTCACACCAGTAATATTGTGTCTTATGCACAGAGATAGACATTAGAGAGAGGATAATTTGCAGAAAAATTAAAGAGGTACCAGTCCTGTCTTCATCTCTTGCGCTTCACTAGCTGGCATTCTCTATCTGTTGAAATATTTTATCTTGCTGGCCACTATCTGAAGAGAAAAAGAATTTAAAATTAACTGGAATTCTCAGACGCTCTAGAATGTCAGGAGAATTAAGTACATTTACAGAATAGTTCTGGAACATATTTTGAAATGTTCTTTTTTTTTTATGGCCATGTGTGTGCAGCCAGAACAAGCAGCTGGCAGTTGTTTTGAGGTCATAAAGAAAGGGTAACCACAGTGTAAATGTCACCAAAGAAAAAAACATCTCACTGAGCTTTTTTTAAATCTTCAGCTTGGTCATTTCTAGAGCTAACATTGCAATTGATGATGCATGTTTAATTTAGATGGTGAGAAAACACAGGAAGCAGAAAATGCCAGTGTGCAGTACTAATGTAGGTTACTACTGTCTTACTTTGTAGGACTGGCATCTCAGATCATCCTTATCCTCCTCTGTAGAAAACAGTCCTCTCACCCTGGTTACACATTCCAAGATGCTGTATTTATACTATTTACCCCTCTGCTGTATCCTGCCAAATCAGGCCATGATGCACCTTGGAGGTGTCTGGATGGAGAATGCAGTACACAAAGTACTTTAGTGTCATTGTTTCTCGAGCATATGGCATTTTTAGCTTCACTTCACATTACAGCTCAAGTATTGGCATATTACGCAATTTGTATGTAAAAGACTTTTATATATGTTAAAATTACTCTCTTTCAGTGCACCGTTTCATGTGGAGGGGGCATTCAGCAAAGAACTGTGAAGTGCATGAATATAGAAACTAATGAAACTGAAAATGGCAGCATGTGTGTGGATAAACTCAAGCCTACAGAGTATCAGAAATGCAATCTGCAAGAGTGCAAGAAAAGTACAGGTATGATAATACACTTGTCTCAGACAGTTTCAAAAAAGCTCTCCATTAGTGCTGAGATTCTGCAAAAACTGTGAGCTGACCCAATTTAGCAACTTGTTGTGAATACTATGGGCTCAGTAATTATAGGTCAGCCTAACCTGTTACTGCTCAGCTGCACTGTTGGCAGAATCACATCATGTTCTCCATTTGTACTGGCCTTGTGTTGCTATGATAGGGAATGGAGTTCTCTGAGCATGCGTCCCTAATGTATGATGCCACAACTAAATGAATAGGTCTGCTTGTATTGACCTGTTTTAAGTAACTCACAGGCTATTGTGGAAGGACATGTTGTGAGTCCAAACAGATGCCATTTCTTAAGATAGATACCCTATGGGAACTGCAAATTCTGGACTGGGATTCCAAGCAAGCAAAGTGAGACAAACACTGTAAGAAAAATCTGACTGGCAGTGAACCCAAATACAGGTCTAGGCACTATGAATTCAGTGTCCCACAGGGTGAGACTGTCTCCAAAATGAAGACGTGGAGAGAAGTCCTGTTGTGACTCTGGGTGTCCTGTACCTCTCTTCTTTGAGGGCCCAGGAGCCCAGTTATGTAGATGGCTAATAGCCCAGCAAAGAAGCAGCAGGGGAGGGAGGAAACATACAGAAGGGTATCTTTATCTGTAGTCTGTGTACTGCAGTATCGAGCAGGGACCCTCAGGTAAGAACAGCAACAGCTCAGAGTCCTTCTGGAAGAGCCTTCAAAGGCCTTTTGGAGGAGGATTCTTCCCCCTTAGGAAGTCAGCAGTAAGGGTCTAATGTGGCAATGAGACAAGAGGTTGACTGGTGAGTGCAGTGCAGATCTGGCATACCATTGAGAGTGATGCATCACTCCTCCTGCTGTTCAAAGATCTTTAGCACATGTTCTGCCCTAAGGTTGAACTGGTCTGCTTATCTCCTGTCCCTCTCATGTTCAGAAGGACAGACTCAGATAAATACTACCTACACAGATTAGTAATAGTTATTTCACGAATAAAAGCTCAAGGGGCCAGTAAAACGTAAGAAATGCCCTCCTGGGTAGACCAGTGGTCCGTGCAGCTCAATATTGTGTCTCCAGCAATGGCATTAGAAGATGCTGCTTAGGGAAAATACAGGAGTTTAGTCCTTTCCTGTGATTCATTTCCACAGTATTCCTCCAGCATTCCCAACTGACATATTAAGACTATTAAAGGCACCCCTTTTAGTGCCTTTTAGTTTAAAGTTATGGAACCTTTTTCCATGAATATGTTGCATAGCTTTTTGACCCTGCCATGCTGGCTGCTTCCACCCTCTCCTGTGTCAGCAAGTTCCCAAGGTTCACAGCCTGCTATGAAAAATGCTTTTATCTGTTTCAAATTACCTTTATCCTATAGTTTCATTGAGTTTCCCCAGTTCTAGTGTTGAGGGATTTGCTGAACAACAGCAGCCTTGCATTCAGCTAATCCACCACCTTCCTGCCTCTGCAAACCTTGGCTCTCCCCTGAGCCATCTCTTCTCACAGCTGAGGACCCCCATTTTGTAGTATCTAACTAAATCTGACACATCTCAGTTTATTAAAGCTACCACAGACCTATAAGCACCATAATAGATACAGTAACAGTCCCTGGCTTATTTTGGTGCAGCGGAAACTGAAGCATAGTCAAGCTGAACATGTAGTTGCACGTGCCTTGTCTATGCTCTTCTGTCTGCTCTGCATGGCTCTGCAGCACGCTGCCAGCCCATTGCACTTGTCTTAAATGCGCTATTACAAGAATGCGAAAGCACCAGACTCGTAAATCATTGTTGCTAGACTTTCTCTGGCAGTTCTTAAAAGCAGAAACATTAAAGTGAAAAACATGGATTGGCTATGTCTGCCACAAAAGTAAAGCCTCACTGAACAGGAATAAAAGACTGCTGTATTTTTCAAGAAAGAAGGTCATGTGAAGTTTAATAGGACCTGTTCACTTAAATGTCCTAAAATTCTAGGGGGATCAAGGTGACCTATAATACAAAGGAAGAGAAAGCCATCATAAATAAGAGCCTTAACAGGCATGACTGTCTGACATAAAGCAGTTTAAAATTCTAGAAATACAGATAGTTTGTCAGCAAAATATAGATAATTCTTCTCTTCTTCACCATAGGGCTACCCTGCAGCAAAGACCAACTGTCAGTTCACTTCTGCCAGAGGCTGAAAGGCATTGGCAAGTGCTTGCTGCTGTCAATACGGACTCAGTGCTGCTTCACGTGTAGTCAGCCCCGAATTCGTAACAAAGCAAGATACTGGGATCAGCGAGGCCTCAAGCAACAAAATTACACGAAATCTAGAAGAAAATCACCTGAAAACCAAGAAAACAACAATGAAGCTGCTCGGCACTAGCTGTTTTTTATCTAGTTGCTTTGAGTAGGGCTTCTGTTTACAGGTTTTATGTTCCTTCTTTTTTTTTTCTGAACCATCCAATTTAAATGGAAATCTGTGATCAAAACTGGGAAAACACATCCCTTAGGGTTATCAGTCCTAATTTACTGCTTCAAATTTTGCCCTGTAATAGTCCAAAATTTGTAACATAATTTGCAATGTACCAGCAGCTAGTACTTCTTAGGCATGCATAGAGGCTAGAAACAAGCTTGCAAGAATTTTTTTATTTTTTTAAATGAATGTTTTACTTGTTCTTTCTTCCATCTCTTTTCTAAAACCCACTTGAAACAAGAGCACCGCTTTCTCAAGAGTGCTAAGTGAAGGCGGCTGATGGGGCAGCAGAGATAGATCTGTGCTGTGGGCCAGATCTCTCTATGCTCACTCACTTTTCTGTTTTTAGGAACCAAGGTGAAGTGGCAGTTTTTCTCTAAATTGTTTGCTCACTTCATAAATTTAAAAGCAGAGTTTTACAATAACTGATTATGATACACAGGCCAAATAGAAACATTGGGTTTTTCAAAAGAAAAAGTGCTCATTTAGTACTTGACTGAACCGCTAAAGGATACCTCAGCAATAGCCTGTCCCAGCCAGTTTGCTACAAATATCTTGATGTAACCTGAAAACCCTACCAAATATGGGATGCTAAGTTCTCAAATACATTTTAAGCAACATTTCTTGGTACCATGAAAGCAAAGCTGTTTGCGTCTACCACCTTAATAGCTAGATTGTAATTCACGCCAATTTTGAGTGATAGAGCTATCATTTAATCCAGTATCTCCTAGTAGAGTGTAAGCCCACATCCACAAGAGTACTCGTCACCTCTCTCACAGCAAACTTTTCCCCCAGTGCAAATCCTTGATCATAGTGAGGGTGAGGGCACCTGGGATGGGAGCCTGACACCCAGAGTATCTGCGTAGCTGTGGGCCTCAGGCATTAGGAGAGCACTAGCCAAATAGCTTTTCTGTTTTACTATAGAGGAAAATGGCAGAACAAACTTTAGGAAGACCAGACTTGACCTTTTGAAGCAAAGCCAGGCATTTTCAAAAGAGCTGGACAGAGTCTGGCATTTAGATTGCTTTGAAATTCAGTAGGATTTGGACACCTGGGTTCTTCATGCTCTTTTGAAAATCTCAGATTTACTCCCTAGCTACCTGACAATTTGAGATTGTAATACAGGGAAATGTCTTTTTTTATGCAGTGTAGAGCAAGACACATAGCCATGAATCCAAGTGTCACTATGGTTACAGAACTATGACTAGCAATAGCCCTATTTCTAGACAGACCTTTATGAAAGTTAATAGAAATATTTGGGTCTGGCTATAAGGTATTAACCTAATGATGGCCACAAGTCTAATTGTCCTTTTTCATACGTTTGTGACCTTTGGCTAAAGGCTCACTTAACTTGAACTCTCTGGGAGTTCAGGATATGCAGCATGGTACGGTTAGATTTATTAACCTCTGTGATGGCAATATAACCCCAGTTATAGGTGCTGATAAAACTTAAAATCCACTGTTAAAAATATGGTGCTAGCATAACAGATGTGGGGGATGACTTACAATGGTGCATGTGCATGCATGTGTGTACACAGCATACGTGCACATACTCTTAAAATAATACATGTCTATGGTGTTGCTGGCCAATGCCAGACATAATGCTTTTTAAGTTTCACAGTGTGCTTATGGCCTTCTGAGGTCCTGAATGGCTGCTGACTCTCTGAGCAATAGAAATCTGGGCAGTTCTTACTCCACTGGCCACAGAAATACTGAAGCATGTGAAGGAGTGGAGGTGTCCCGTCTAATTCAGGAAGCATTTGGGCAGAGCTTGGCCTCAGGCTGTACTGCTATGTCCAGGGAAGTTCTCTGATGGCCAAACAACCTAGACTGGTGGACAGCACAGATGCTTCTGATGTTCCCAGAAGCATCGTCTAGGATTTGGGCAGGACAAAGTTAGATTCGCTTCAGAGTCAGACTCTTCTGTGCTCAGAGGTACTGCAATGCTTTATCCACAAAGGTCAGCAGAAGTGGGCCATCAGGTATGTGGGCTAAGGAGAAAGGAGCTGGCTGAGTGGATATAGTGCAGGTGGGAGGAGAAATGCCTGGGAGGGTTGTCACTTCCTTACAGCTGGTGTGGAGTAAAACCATTTTTGGCTTCATTGTTTTCTTCAGGGAGCTGTAGTTTCATTTGAAATGGATGAAAGTGAATAAATTATATTATGGACATTAATCAAAATAATCTTTCTACCCAGGGAAGCACAGTCATCACTGTTGCTCAGCTTAAAACTTTAGGGAAAGGACTGTGACAACAACATGAACTGTTTTAATAGAGCAGTGCCACTGCTGTATTTTACATAGGTTCTTAGATCAAATTCATCAGCCTATTATCTCCTCTATGCTAGTAATATGTGCAGTCATCTCTTCCATCCATTCAGCAAGATTCCTTCCTTAGAACGTAACTATTTTTAAGTAAAGGTGGATTTATGATCCTAACCCAGATGGTGACTATTCTCAAAAATGAATAGAGTATTAAGTGCAGAGGCGTAATATCATTATATTATCATACTAGCCTGAGACACATCAGCCTCAACAGGTTGCTCAGGAAAAAATGTGTATTTGGCACATTCACTGCGTGTTTTAACATTCAAGGCTTAAAAAGCAAACTATAATGACATATTTGTTTCAAGCTTCAATAAATGGCATTGCTTATGTCTGATGTCTCTGGTATTTTATGTTTCCAGTACAAGAAGATTTCTAAGATGGAATTCCAAGGAAAAAAAGCTTAGACAGTATCTTTTCTATTCCAGGGGAATCCTCATCATTGAGGTATTTTGATTCTTGATATTCCAACATAAAGGAGTTGATTAAAAAGGGTGAGGGGGGAAAAGTAGTGGAATAAAGCATGGTGCTAAAGTAAAAATATACATTAGTAGACTTAGTTATGTCCTATGAAATAGATCACATCTTACCACTTCTAGTCCAAGCAGATGTGCCTTAGCTCCCTGGCAGCAGATGTGTGCATGTCTGCTGTGTCTATTGTGGGATGTATTTGTTTTCCTGAAGAGTTGTATACAATATGATCACGCCCACTCCCCCACCTCCCCCACTGCCCCTGCCCCAGAATCTTTTCAATACTCAAGTTTTGCAAGTAGTGCTGCTGGTGATGCGCAGAAACTGAATCACATTAACGCTGTTCCTTGACATGCAGCCCAGGACCACAGGCACCGCAGTTAGGCATATATGCTTGGGTAGAGAGCACCATCAGTTTGCACTCAGTTACCAAACTCCACCCATGCATCCATCCGTGGGTTCCGCCTGATAACACCCTATGGAAGTTGCAGGAAGTTGCTCCTTCTTACTTCACAAAGTAAGTGTGGATCTTCAGCCCACAGTGGCAGCATCCTGTACAGGTGCTGTAAGGAAAAGAAATTAACTGAATTGAGAAATGAGTTGAAGCTCCCTCCACTTTGCAAAGGCTCGTTAGGCATTCACTGGATGACCTGCTGCACAGCACACAGCCTGACAAGCAGCTTCTGCTGTCTGCTGCACTGTGTGGCATGGCTCGCTGCACTTCTTCAGCCTGGCCAAATGTGCAGCACCTGCCAAAGGAACTGGCTTTTGGCTGCCTCGCATCAGCTCGAAATGAACATGTGGTAAACATGTGAAAACCAGGAAGTTGTTAAACATCTGGGCTGCCATCAGATGCCTACCTGAAAGACACAATCGCATCAGAAAGAAAATTTATCGAGGTTCTTGAGGGCTTCTGCTAATTCGCTGTTACCATTATGAGTCATTAGGTGTAGCTTTTACTAAATCAAAGTTAAAAGATGTGGAACAGAGAAAAATAGTTACTTGGAGAGATTGGGTGTTTGGGGGAGGCAGTCTTTTGCTAGACCTCTGGAGTTACCTCTCTCTCTGTCATGTTACAAGCAGGTGAGAAGATGGTCCTTGGCAGCCGTCTGTTCTCTGCTGGATTCAGCGATTCAGTGGTTTTGGTTGGGGGCTGAAATGTGACATATCCCTTCTGCTTATATTGATGGTGGGGAACAGTACTTTTGGGGCTCTTGAAGGCTAGTGAGTCAAAGAGGCCTGCCCCAAAGCCGGTCTGTGAGAGGCTGCAGTCTGACTCCCTCCAAATTCGAAAAAGAAGGGGTTGAGCCCAGCTTCCTAATTAATAGGCCAATAGAGTACCCAAGGCACTGAGCAAAGGACACGGTGTAAGAGTCAGCTCTTACTATGCCATAAAGGCAGAACAGAAACCCTGAATTCCTTCTGGTTTAGCATGAAGTCTCAATAAATGAAAGAAGGGGCGAACCTTGGATTTTAAACTCTTAAGGGTTGTCTTCGATTTGAGTAAATACTATCTGCTAGCAAAAAGAGACAGTGCTGTGTGTGTAGAGGCTGGAGGAAGCTGGAAGGAAAAAAAGGCTGCCTGTGGGGTCAAGCCACTTCCTTGCACATGAGAAGGGGAGGCCCAGGCCAGCGAAGGTCAGTGTACACGCGAGCATTTCAAGGCAGCGTGTGGCTTTACTGCAGCAGTAATCCTTGGGATGTGAACAGGCGTCCAGTGCTGCCCTCGCGTAATTCCACATCTGTGGTCCTGCTTGCCGGACTGCCTGGGCAAAGGGCACGGCTGTTTACTGTAGTGCTGGTGTTGGGGGAAGTTCCCACTGGGAACGCCAGCATGCTGACGTGATGGCAAACGTGGCATTAATGAGAAACCACCATAAGGAAAGCTCCAGTGTGAGGGAAGCTGATTAATGAACTAGCAGAGAGGGATGGTTTATTACAAACCCGTGAGGACTCTCTGTGGATGGGAGTGCAGTGAATTTTCAAGCTCCTCACATGCTTATTTACACATATGGCAGACATGGCGAGACTATGTTCTCTGTCTATTCTCCTGTATCTGTTATGTGTTTCATACAATAGCTGAAGCTTGAGATTAAACTACCTCTTATCCACTGTGT